AGCGCTGACTCCCACACCATGCGGAATTCATCATTCAATTTGTGCACAGTTTTGAATGCGGAAAAAAAGATAATGTGTAAACTTTGAAATTGTGCTGATAGAGAAAGCTTTTTGCGTGAGAGTAAGCTTAAAAGCTATTCTGGAATGAGTTTACTTCATGGTTGTAAAATGACGTACAGTGTGAATTGTTCGTTTGTTGTTTAACGCCGCACTCAGCAATATTCCTGCTATATGACGGCGGTCTGTAAATAACCTGGACCAGACAATCCATTGATTGACATCGATTGATCTACGCAATGGGGATTCGATGACATGCATCAACCAAGTCAGCGAGCCTGACCACCCGATCCCGTTAGTGTCGCCGCTTGTGACAAGCATCCCCAATTCTACCCTGGATCTTCACTGGTGCACAGTGTGAAAGCTGGCCAATAATTGCACCAGCTCTATCCAGTACTACAACACAAGACATACACACAGATGGTTCCCCCGAGTTAGTCTGTGGGACATAGAACGAGTCTGATTGTTGTAATTATTGGCAATAAAAAAAACGAATTAGGTATGAGTTGTCTGGCTGGCAAATGTGGCAGTGTAACTGCAGATCTTTCTCCCAGTGCAAGTTGTCACTGCATGACGCCACTGGCTACAGTCAGGGTTTTTAAGGCTACAATCAAATTGTCGGATCACACCTCGATAACGCATTGTTGCTTTACATTGACACCTGCCCGTCTCACCTGACCACCTTTCATGTCGGCTCTCAATTACAGGTGTTTGCTCTCGCGCCAGAAACCAGAATCTGAACTGAGCGTGAGCCTCGGAAGTCCGACAGATATGGGCAGCTATATCCAGGCTATTCCTTGGAAGTCCCAGCTAACGTATTTGCCTGTAATTAAAATTCAAGTCTCACAGGTATGCATGACAGCGTGTGGGCGCGTGCCGCAAATAACATTATGAAAGGGCACCTCGTTCCCGAGTTGCTTTACACAATGAGGCCACTGAGGCGGATATTCCCGCGGATTTGCGAGCCTCAGATGTACTGATTACATACCCTTTCTAGCGGATCAAACATGACTTAATCTCACCCTCTACTTGGATACTCTCTCTCTCTCTCTCTCTCTCTCTCTCTCTCTCTCTCTCATGAACGTCATGACATCTACACTACACGTCAGTCTGAGGCGGTCTTTAGTTCCGACATGTAACAGCGCTTGAGGTGCTATGGGGAACGTCATGAACGTCATGACATCTACACTACACGTCAGTCAGAGGCGGTCTCTAGTTCCGACATGTAACAGCGCTTGAGGTGCTATGGGGAACGTCATGAACGTCATGACATCTACACTACACGTCAGTCTGAGGCGGTCTCTAGTTCCGACATGTAACAGCGCTTGAGGTGCTATGGGGAACGTCATGAACGTCATGACATCTACACTACACGTCAGTCTGAGGCGGTCTCTAGTTCCGACATGTAACAGCGCTTGAGGTGCTATGGGGAACGTCATGACATTTACACTACACGTAAGTCAGAGGCGGTCTCTAGTTCCGACATGTAACAGTGCTATGGGGAACGTCATGAACGTCATGACATCTACACTACACGTCAGTCTGAGGCGGTCTCTAGTTCCGACATGTAACAGCGCTTGAGGTGCTATGGGGAACGTCATGAACGTCATGATATCTACACTACACGTCAGTCAGAGGCGGTCTCTAGTTCCGACATGTAACAGCGCTTGAGGGAACGTCATTATATCTACATATTACGTCAATCCGGTTCCATATCGTGAATGACCTCTGTTTGTGTGGATGGTCCCTGTCTGTGTGGATGACCCCTGTTTGTGTGGATGGTCCCTGTCTGTGTGGATGACCCCTGTTTGTGTGGATGGTCCCTGTCTGTGTGGATGACCCCTGTTTGTGTGTATGGCCCCTGTTTGTGTGGATGGTCCCTGTCTGTGTGGATGACCCCTGTTTGTGTGTCTATGACCCCTGTTTGTGTGTATGACCCCTGTTTGTGTGTATGGCCCCTGTTTGTGTGGATGGTCCCTGTCTGTGTGGATGACCCCTGTTTGTGTGTCTATGACCCCTGTTTGTGTGTATGGCCCCTGTTTGTGTGTATGGCCCCTGTTTGTGTGAATGACCGTACTTGAAGACCGAGGATCTCAGACCACCTCCTTCCTAACTACAACAAGGGAATTATAGATACACGTCAGGCAATAGTGAGGCTATTCAACCACACAATGGCCGAGTGATAAACTTTATATTCCACAAGGCCGTGGAGAATGCATGGCGTGTAATTAACTGTGTGTACAAGCTACTTGGAGCTGCTGTACGCGCGCAGCAATAATACCTGCTCTTATTGACTGCCTGTGTATCTTGAGATAGTGGTAGGACTCGGTGACTGACTCGCCCTCCACTGTCACTACCGTTGCACGGAGAGCATGTAGATAATGGCAGTTGTCGCATTGTAAAATAGGTGAATGTAGGTGTAAAGAGGTACACATACATGTCCTTTCATGTCCTTCACTCCACTCCCTCCCGACCCTCTACCCCTCCACTATACCCACCCCCACCCCCTACCCTTTCATGTCTTCTCTTCACCCTATCTCTTCCCCTCACCCTATCATGTTCTTCACCTCAGCCAACCCTTTCTTGTCATTCTATTCACCCCTCTCCCCTCCCCCTTTCATTTCCTTCCCTTCACCCCTCACACCCTCCCTAGCCTCACCCTTTCATATCTTCTCCTCACACGTCACCTCACCCTTTCATGTCTTCTCACCTCACCCTTCTATGTCTTCTCTTCAACCCTCACCCTTTCATGTCTTCGCTTCACTACCTCACCTCACCCTTTCATGACTTCTCTTCAGCCCATCATCACATCCTTTCATATCTTATCCCCCCCCCCCCCTCCCCCACCCTTCTATGTCTTCTCTTCAACCCTCACCCTTTCATGTCTTCTCTTCACCCTCTCTCACCTCACCCTTTCATGTCTTCTCTTCACCCTCTCCCACCTCACCCTTTCATGTCTTCTCTTCACCCTCTCCCACCTCACCCTTTCATGTCTTCTCTTCACCCTCTCTCATCTCGTCCTTTCACGTCTCATCTTCACCCTCTCTCACCTCAACCTTTCATGTCTTCTCTCCACCCCCTCACCTCACCCTTTCATGTCTTCTCTTCAGCCCATCATCTCACCCTTTCATGTCTTCTCTACACTACCTCACCCTTTCATGTCTTCTCTTCACCCTCACCTCACCCTTTCATGTCTTCTCTTCACCCTCACCTCACCCTTTTATGTCTTCTCTACACTACCTCACCTCACCCTTTCATGTCTTCTCTTCACTACCTCACCTCACCCTTTCATGTCTTCTCTTCACCCTCACCTCACCCTTTTATGTCTTCTCTCCACCCCCTCACCTCACCCTTCCATGTCTTCTCTTCACTACCTCACCTCACCCTTTCATGTCTTCTCTACACTACCTCACCTCACCCTTTCATGTCTTCTCTTCACCCTCACTTCACCCTTTCATGTCTTCTCTTCACCCTCACCTCACCCTTTTATGTCTTCTCTCCACCCCCTCACCTCACCCTTTCATGTCTTCTCTTCACTACCTCACCTCACCCTTTCATGTCTTCTCTACACTCCCTCACCTCACCCTTTCATGTCTTCTCTACACTACCTCACCCTTTCATGTCTTCTCTTCACGCCTCACCTCACCCTTTTATGTCTTCTCTCCACCCCCTCACCTCACCCTTTCATGTCTTCTCTTCAGTACCTCACCTCACCCTTTCATGTCTTCTCTACACTCCCTCACCTCACCCTTTCATGTCTTCTCTTCACTACCTCACCCTTTCATGTCTTCTCTTCACCCTCACCTCACCCTTTTATGTCTTCTCTCCACCCCCTCACCTCACCCTTTCATGTCTTCTCTTCACCCTCACTTCACCCTTTCATGTCTTCTCTTCACCCTCACCTCACCCTTTTATGTCTTCTCTCCACCCCCTCACCTCACCCTTTCATGTCTTCTCTTCACTACCTCACCTCACCCTTTCATGTCTTCTCTACACTCCCTCACCTCACCCTTTCATGTCTTCTCTACACTACCTCACCCTTTCATGTCTTCTCTTCACGCCTCACCTCACCCTTTTATGTCTTCTCTCCACCCCCTCACCTCACCCTTTCATGTCTTCTCTTCAGTACCTCACCTCACCCTTTCATGTCTTCTCTACACTCCCTCACCTCACCCTTTCATGTCTTCTCTTCACTACCTCACCCTTTCATGTCTTCTCTTCACCCTCACCTCACCCTTTTATGTCTTCTCTCCACCCCCTCACCTCACCCTTTCATGTCTTCTCTTCACTACCTCACCTCACCCTTTCATGTCTTCTCTTCACTACCTCACCCTTTCATGTCTTCTCTTCACTCCCTCACCTCACCCTTTCATGTCTTCTCTTCACTACCTCACCTCACCCTTTCATGTCTTCTCTCCACTCCCTCACCTCACCCTTTCATGTCTTCTCTTCACCCTCACCTCACCCTTTCATGTCTTCTCTTCACTACCTCACCTCACCCTTTCATGTCTTCTCTTCACTACCTCACCTCACCCTTTCATGTCTTGTCTTCACTACCTCACCTCACCCTTTCATGTCTTCTCTTCACTCCCTCACCCTTTCATGTCTTCTCTTCACTCTCACCTCACCCTTTCATATCTTCTCTTCACTGCCTCACCTCACCTGTCCTGCTCATCACACCCTCCCTCACCTCATCCCACCTTTTCAGGGCCTTCGCTTCCCCTCCCAGCCACCCCTAGCTGCCACCCCTGCCACTCCTCTCCTCTCCCCTCCCTACCCCTCCTTTAGACCTTAAATCATTAAATTTAGCGGGTCGGGTGGGAGCTGAATATTTCATTTCATACTCATTTCGAAATATTATGATTTTTAATTATCAATTAAAATTACACAGACACGGCGCAGGACTAGGAGATGGTCAAAGGGAGATAATTGCAAGTCTATGAAGAGTTATCCATAGTAAACGGGTATTTTGTTGAGTCAGCGGTGCTCACACGTGCAGGCAACAGCAGCTTTGCATGTGATCAAGCAGACGACGGGCACCAGTTCGGGCTAACGCTTGCCGGCAACGTAGAACGGGTTTCCGAGTAAGGTAGGGTCTGATTCTGATTTGTTTCACTCAATACGCTATGGGGACAGGCGGGCTGACTACGCCGTGATATGTCCATGTCAACTATTCTACACGTGGCTCGAACAATAGGACATATAAGCTTTATACCCCAGGTCATGTACCCAACGACGTGTCACAGCTCAATTTGAGGTTTGCCGAAGTTATCGGATCTACCGGTCGAAGGCGTGGCCTAGCTGAGAGCCGGGAGGGTGATCAACAGTGTTTCCGGAGATTAGAACGGTTGTTCTAGTCAGTACGAACCACCACACCCAACCCCACCCAGCCCACCCGACCCATCTTACTACGTTGTGGGGGGGGGGGGGGGGGGGGGGGGGGGGGGGGACGGGTGGCCCAGTCGTCTAAGGCGCCGCGATTCGCTGTGCAGAGTTGCGTCCCTTGGGCACGACAGAAACCTATGATTGTGGGTTGGAATCCTGGTTCGCCCCAATTATGTTTCTAGGTTTGTCAGCACCATCACTCCGGGCTTTCCTCCCACATTAAGCTGACACGCCGCGATATAACTGGAATACTGTTAAAAGCGGCGTAAAACCCAACTCACTCACTCACTACTACTTTGTGGCTGCATGGTTGGTTCTGAGCGCCACCCAGCAGGCACAACGTTTAAGTTGTCTGTGTTTAATCAACATCGGATGTCAACGTTGAAGGATTGTCGTGCTTCAAGGTTCAACAAGTAATAACATTGATCTCTGGATGGATTTGAAAGTTGTGATGATGTTGAATCGTCGACGTTGAATCAGTTATCATGATATAACATTTATACTAAGTTTTCCTATAATAATTAGATCCACATCAAGTGCTTTTATGAGTAATCATGGTGTAATATTTATACATCATTTCATATAATTAGTTTAGCAAGTAATACTCTTTTATGAGTTATCATGGTTTAATATTTATACATCATTTCATATAATTATATTTATCATATAATGGGAAGGTTTCTCGGCAAGATAAAGCCAACGGACAAAAACGATATCCGTTGGGGTCATATGCGGATAGAGATGCAAATATCAAAGGTCAAGCAGGGACTACTTTCACTGTTTATAAACAAACATGGCGTTGCCCACGTCATTCGGCGATCGAGTCAGAATTAACCATCTGGAATCTGGATAAACTACAGGGATAATTGCTATCATTATCAAAAGAACAGTCTAATATACTGAAAATCAGTTTCTAACTGTGACATAACTATGGCATTTTATATGTTTTGGCAACTTTGGAGATATAAATTTCGAAACAATTTTGCGAGGGCATGAGGCCTAGCCAAGCGGGATCAGTAGCCATATCTGTGCTTGTAGACCTCTGCGGCTCGAAACCTTCTCCACAAATTAAAATAGTTTGATTTGGCCGAAATATGTTTGAATTGTTACCTTGTTTCGTTTTGTCGCTGTGTGTACATCTGACTACACTTCTTAACGTTATGACGGGACAGACCGACTGTCAACAACGTCTGACTGTGGCCGTGACGTCTCATAGACTAGGGTTAGAGTAGCTTCCCTTTTGACAAAGGGCAGTTACTCTAGTGAACAGACCGATGGATTGCCGCGAAAGGCAATTAAAAACAATTGTTGTTTTGCGTATATGTTGCTTCGCCACTGTATAAGAAACAGATTTTAGTTGGAACTATATTGGCTACTGTCACTGTCCGACTGACACATCAATTACCCAGTGACGTAATAAATATTAATGCGCGCATTCCAGAAAAACTCGCAATGTTTCAGTAATGTTTGTGAGAGAGGGAAAGCGACTTTGAAGCACAGAATTACAGAATGACATTATATGATAAAGAGGTTATCACGCTTGTGTGTTTGGGGATGGTAAATATCCTGTATTAGGAATAAACACTATGTATCTAGCTCGCCAAGGCTCGCTAAATACAATGTTTGTTCCTAATGCAGGATATTTACCATCCCCAAACACACTCGCGTGATAACCTCTATGAAATGATGTATAAATATTACACCATGATAACTCATAATTTTTTAAGCACTTGATGTGGATCTAATTATTTTAGGAAAACTTAGTATAAATGTTATATCATGATACAACATCAGATATAAGTGTTGAATTTTGGTTGATTATTGGCTGAATAATGGTTGCATTGCTATATACAGCTGAGTAGCACTATATATTATAATCAGGTCAAAATTATGGACTCCATAGCTCTACTTTCTGGTCACTAGAGGTTGCTGACTGAGGTCCAGGGTCCATGGACTCCATAGCTCTACTTTCTGGTCACTAGAGGTTGCTGACTGGGGTCCAGGGTCCATGGACTCCATAGCTCTACTTTCTGGTCACTAGAGGTTGCTGACTGGGGTCCAGGGTCCATGGACTCCATAGCTCTACTTTCTGGTCACTAGAGGTTGCTGACTGAGGTCCAGGGTCCATGGACTCCATAGCTCTACTTTCTGGTCACTAGAGGTTGCTGACTGGGGTCCAGGGTCCATGGACTCCATAGCTCTACTTTCTGGTCACTAGAGGTTGCTGACTGGGGTCCAGGGTCCATGGACTCCATAGCTCTACTTTCTGGTCACTAGAGGTTGCTGACTGAGGTCCAGGGTCCATGGACTCCATAGCTCTACTTTCTGGTCACTAAAGGTTGCTGACTGAGGTCCAGGGTCCATGGACTCCATAGCTCTACTTTCTGGTCACTAGAGGTTGCTGACTGAGGTCCAGGGTCCATGGACTCCATAGCTCTACTTTCTGGTCACTAGAGGTTGCTGACTGAGGTCCAGGGTCCATGGACTCCATAGCTCTACTTTCTGGTCACTAGAGGTTGCTGACTGAGGTCCAGGGCCCATGGACTCCATAGCTCTACTTTCTGGTCACTAGAAGTTGCTGACTGAGGTCCAGGGTCCATGGACTCCATAGCTCTACTTTCTGGTCACTAGAGGTTGCTGACTGAGGTCCAGGGTCCATGGACTCCATAGCTCTACTTTCTGGTCACTAGAGGTTGCTGACTGAGGTCCAGGGTCCAGGGTTACAACCACAATAGTTTCAAGAAAATGATTACCTGAAAAAATAAAACACTCACCTGTGATTGGTTGTGCAACATGTCTTTTTTTCACTGTTTTTCAAGCAAACTCTTCCTTTGGAAGTTTGATACTTAGAGGTGATGGGATATACTGTAACGTCTTTGGGGATATATTTACAACAAATTAGGACAACCAAATTAAAGGTTTTTGCTGGTTTATGTGCATTCATTTTACACTTGTTAAACTTGTAGAAATGCTCCCCTCCTTTTCCATAAGGCTGTGTCAGTACCTATAGCTCTCTGCATTACTGCTCCCATGCGTGTATTGAGTCTATCTTCCAGCTGTTGCTTAATCAATACCATATGAGCAGTTATGTATATGGCATGATACACCAAAATTGTCTTTTGTGGTTTGTCACAAGACTTTATTTACTTCCAGTCATTCGTCATCCATCAGCTGTTTACCTAGCCTTGTAATTTATGAAGTGACTCCTGACACCCTGGCACTATAGATTTCACACCATTGCCCATATATCTGTAAATGAAGAAGCTACATGAAGATTATACGTTTCTAAATATCTAGCCTAGATAAAGGTAAATGTTTTGACAGATACAGACCATCAGATGCCCTTCAATAAAAAAGGTTGTACACTACTCTCAGATTTATTTGGGTCGTCTATTTTTGAGTCATAGGGGCTATTAGTAATAATTTACTATAATTATTAATTTACTTAGTAATAATTTAAGAGTTGAAAGCCTGGTGGCCTGGGTTGGAGCCATGTGTCACGTGAGTTTACCTGTCATGTCATTGCGCTCAGAACTCTGTAGCTTGTTATAGATAGGTGAGGTGAGATAAAATTGGGTTTAACGTCGCAACCAAGATTATTGCACTTATATAGCGACGTGCATGCACGTGTATGTGTTTGTTACTGCTTGTACTAGTCCGGACTGATGCCGATTTATAGTGCTAGCTCACTGAGATACCATGTCGCAGTTTAACATGAATACCCCACTCGCACACAGTATACTGACTCCGAGTCGACCAGTCCTTGTTTTAGCCTTTAATGCCGAGCGCCAGACAGGGTAACAACAAGTACCATCTTTTAGCGTCTTTTGGTATGACACGGCCGGGGATCGAACCCCAGACCTTCCGCTCTCCGGGCGGACGCTCTACCACTAGACCACGGAGGCGGTCATGTTATAGATAGGGATCTCGGAGTTACATTGAAGGACATCAACATCTGACATGCTGGCATTTGATTGTACTTCTTACATGAATCGAAGTGTCAGTTATGTATAGAATATGCAATCTACAGATCTTATTTTACAGATAAACATTTTTGTATCCCCCAGGCCTTTTAAAGAAAATAATTTGCGTCCTTTCTCAATTCTTCCAGAAAACACTGTTACTACTCAACAGAAGCAATGTTGAGGAATAATTTCCTAATGATGTCACTGTACCCTGACACCATGGCGTGTTGCTCATAATATCAGCCACTGGTTTGTCCGCCTGGACTTGATTATTTACAAAATATATTGATAGAACTGGAATTATTGCTGACTTGCATAAATAACAAATTATTATTAAAGGCAGTGCTTGATATGGTGACACATCATGTTTCAGTTGAACAACATCAGATAAAGCATGTCTCTCAGACTGTGTGTGAGATTAGCAAGGAGGTCAGTCCCTCTGCTTCGACCACAAGTTGGCATCAGCGAGGAGATGGGACGGTTATGTCGCAGCTTGAGTACATCCCATTCACATAAAGCAGGTGAGTACTGACAGGGCACAGTTATATCACAACTTGAGTACATCCCATTCACATAAAGCAGGTGAGTACTGACAAGGCACAGTTATATCACAACTTGAGTACATCCCATTCGCATAAAGCAGGTGAGTACTGACAGGGCACAGTTATATCACAACTTGAGTACATCCCATTCACATAAAGCAGGTGAGTACTGACAGGGCACAGTTATATCACAACTTGAGTACATCCCATTCAAATAAAGCAGGTGAGTACTGACTGGGGATGGGTAATGGAGGTTTAAAGTGTATCGCAATATTTTACGATGCTCAAGGCCGTATTGCGATACGTACCATGATATATTGCATAATTCTAAATTTAGAATTCAGAAGAAATTTGAAACAATGAATTGAAGTTCATAAATGGAACAAAACAAGATGCTGGTACAACATAATGTTTACTCATTCAATAAATAGGCACGGATGCACACTCCGGATGCATGCTTTGGGTAATTGGCAAGTGTACATAACATTGTAAGCAGGTGATTACTGACAGGGCACAGTTATATCACAACTTGAGTACGTCCCATTCACATAAAGCAGGTGAGTACTGAAGATATTTGTCATTAAACAATATATCACTTGACTAGACACGGGCCCGGGAAGTCCTGTGGGTACCCGGGTCCTACTCAGGACCCGCCCAATCAAGTACCATACTAAAACTATTAAAAAATACTTACAAACAACATTTTGAAAATATTGTTCCAATATGGTGACTGTAAATAAAAGCGATTATGGTAAGCAGATGCAAATGGCCTCTTTTGTCACAAAAGATTCAATGTAGTGATCTATCGCCAGTGAGTACTGACAGGGTTTAGTTATGTCACAACTTGTGTACATCCTTGGCAACTGAAAATTTGTTTCAGAGAAGAAGCTGTTCACACCTGGCCCGCTGGGCACGTCGCTGACGGTCAGACAGGCCATGCTGCAGGACTTGGGCTCTCGGGATGTCAACTTCATCAACGTCATCAAGAAGATCCGAGCAGACCTGCTCAACATAGCAGGTAAGGTGGCCATGATTTGACATTTAAGAATCATGTATTCATGACAGACTGTAACTTTCAATTGTTTGAAAATTGAGTCAAGTAAAACTTCAATTGGTCTTGTTAAGCCATGTAAGATCGGCTAAACATTGCCCACATAATATTATATACAATATTACGTGATGAATAAACACTCCTGTTGTAAAGAACATTACATGGTAGTTGCAGTAGTACCTTGCCCAAGATGTTACTGAGACACAAAGTTCCCTCTAATCCTGGTCCTCAGTATTGTATGCTGTATTTGTCTTCAGAGGTGTCTCCTTCAGAGTTCACGTCAGTCTTACTTCAGGGAAGTGGAACATTTGCTGTGGAGTCCATCTTCCAGACAACTGTCCCTCACACAGGGGCCAAGGTGAGATGATAGCTTCACTAGGGTGAGATGATAGCTTCTCTAGGGGACAGGTGAGATGATAGCTTCACCAAGGTGAGATGATAGCTTCACTAGGGTGAGATGATAGCTTCACTAGGGGCCAAGGTGAGATGATAGCATCACCAGGGTGAGATTATAGCTTCACTAGGGGCCAAGGTGAGATGACAGCTTCACCAGGGTGAGATGATAGCTTCGACTGGGTGAGATGATAGCTTCACTAGGGGACAGGTGAGATGATAGCTTCACTAGGGTGAGATGATAGCTTCACTAGGGGACAGGTGAGATGATAGCTTCGCCTGGGTGAGATGATAGCTTCACTAGGGGACAGGTGAGATGATAGCTTCACTAGGGGACAGGTGAGATGATAGCTTCACCTGGGTGAGATGATAGCTTCACCAGGGTGAGATGATAGCTTCACTAGGGGACAGGTGAGATGATAGCTTCACCAGGGTGAGATGATAGCTTCACCTGGGTGAGATGATAGCTTCACTAGGGGCCAAGGTGAGATGATAGCTTCACTAGGGGACAGGGTGAGATGATAGCTTCACTAGGGGCCAAGGTGAGATGATAGCTTCACTAGGGGACAGGGTGAGATGATAGCTTCACTAGGGGCCAAGGTGAGATGATAGCTTCACTAGGGGCCAAGGTGAGATGATAGCTTCACTAGGGGACAGGTGAGATGATAGCTTCACTAGGGGCCAAAGTGAGATGATAGCTTCACTAGGGGCCAAAGTGAGATGATAGCTTCACTAGGGGACAGGTGAGATGATAGCTTCACTAGGGGCCAAAGTGAGATGATAGCTTCACCAGGGTGAGATGATAGCTTCACTAGGGGCCAAGGTGAGATGATAGCTTCACCAGGGTGAGATGATAGCTTCACTAGGGGCCAAGGTGAGATGATAGCTTCACTAGGGGCCAAGGTGAGATGATAGCTTCACTAGGGGACAGGGTGAGATGATAGCTTCACTAGGGGCCAAGGTGAGATGATAGCTTCACTAGGGTCCAAGGTGAGATGATAGCTTCACTAGGGGCCAAGGTGAGATTATAGCTTCACTAGGGGACAGGTGAGATGATAGCTTCACTAGGGGACAGGTGAGATGATAGCTTCACTAGGGCCAGAGTGCTTCTGTGTTTGTTGTGTAGTTTTCTAGAAAGAACTCCAATCAATATATGGTTTGTCTGGCCCAGTCTCAGTTATTTAGGTGCTGCTATGATGTAGCAGTAATATTGCAGACGGGGCAGCCTATCAATTCTGAAGTCATGGTGACACAGTTTGCATTTAAGACACTACATCTTCACTATTGTTCGTTAAAATACTATGTACAAGGCAGAGATGTATTTGTTTGTTTGTGTAGCCTAGTAAGTTTATGGAACATGCAGGAATATAATTGTTTTTATGACACTAATGTTCATAATATCTGTATAAATTACCCACTTGTGTAACAATCTTCAAATAAGAGTTCCTTTGTTGGGATCACTTGTTGAGGGATGTGAGACCGTATCACTGTGTTTTGCCTCAGGTGCTGATCCTGGAGAATGGTGTGTATGGGCGGAGGATGAAGACAATCTGTGACACACTGGCCATCCCGGCTCACATGGAGAGCTTCCCTGAAGACAGCAGGGTGGACCTGGGCCGTGTAGAGAGTGTCCTAAAGGGAGACATCTCCTTTACTCATGTCGCAATTGTGCAGTGCGAAACAACCTCTGGACTCTTCAACGATGTAGAGAGTGTTGGGAAACTTGTGAAGAAATACGTTCCTTGTGAGTTTCAATAGAGTTTCCCAATTCCAAAATGTGACCAATTCAGAAAAAGTTTCCCACATTTCTAGCAAGTTTTGCTGCAGTCTGTAGGGAGTCCTTTCAGATGTAGGGAGTCCTTCCATATGTAGGAAGTCCTTCCAGATGTAGGAAGTCCTTCCAGATGTAGGAAGTCCTTCCAGATGTAGGGAGTCCTTCATTATGTAGGGAGTCCTTCCATATGTAGGAAGTCCTTCCATATGTAGGAAGTCCTTCCAGATGTAGGAAGTCCTTCCAGATGTAGGAAGTCCTTCCAGATGTAGGAAGTCTTTCCAGATGTAGGGAGTCCTTCAATATATAGGGAGTCCTTCCAGCTGTAGGAAGTCCTTCCATATGTAGGAAGTCCTTCCAGATGTAGGAAGTCCTTCCAGATATAGGAAGTCCTTCCAGATGTAAGGAGTCCTTCAATATGTAGGGAGTCCTTCCAGATGTAGGGAGTTCAGCCATATATAGGGAGTTCACCCATATTGTAGGGAGTCCATCCAGATGTAGGGAGTCCTTCCAGATGTAGGAAGTCCTTCCATATGTAGGAAGTCCTTTCAGATGTAGGAAGTCCTTCCAGATGTAGGGAGTCATTCAATATGTAGGAAGTCCTTCCATATATAGGGAGCCCATCCAGATGTTGGGTGTCCTTCCAGATGTAGGAAGTGCTTCCATATGTAGGAGGTCCTTCCAGATGTAGGGAGTCATTCAATATGTAGGAAGTCCTTCCATATATAGGGAGCCCATCCAGATGTTGGGTGTCCTTCCAGATGTAGGAAGTGCTTCCATATGTAGGAGGTCCTTCCAGATGTAGGGAGTCATTCAATATGTAGGAAATCCTTCCATATATAGGGAGTCCATCCAGATGTTGGTGTCCTTCCAGATGTAGGAAGTCCTTCCAGATGTAGGGAGTCCTTCCAGATGTAGGGAGTCCTTCCAGATGTAGGGTGTCCTTCCAGATATGGGAAGTCCTTCCAGATGTAGGGAGTCCTTCCAGATGTAGGAAGTCCTTCCAGATGTAGGAAGTCCTTCCAGATGTAGGGAGCCCTTCCAGATGTAGGAAGTCCTTCCAGATGAACGGAGTCCTTCCCGATGTAGGAAGTCCTTCCATATGTAGGAAGCCCTTCCAGATGTAGGGAGTACTTCTATATGTAGGGAGTTCACCCATATATAGGGTGAGGTGAGGTGAAATGGTGTTTAACGTCTGGTCCAAGATTATTGCACTTATATAGCGACGTGCATGCAAGTGTGTGTGTGTGGCTGCTTGTACTATTCCGGACTGGTATACCCCACTCAGACACAGTATACTGACTCCGAGCCGACCAGTCCTTGTTTTAGCCCCTTAATGCCGAGCGCCAGACAGTATGTAGGTAGGTAGGTATGTAGGTAGGTAGGTAGGTAGGTAGGTAGGTAGGGAGGTAGGGAGTCTGCCTGTATATTGAGAGTCCTCCTGTATGTAGGGAGTCTACCTGTATATTGAGTGTCCTGTATGTAGGGAGTCTGCCTGTATATTGAGAGTCCTCCTGTATGTAGGGAGTCTACCTGTATATTGAGTGTCCTGTATGTAGGGAGTCTGCCTGTATATTGAGAGTCCTCCTGTATGTAGGGAGTCTACCTGTATATTGAGTGTCCTGTATGTAGGGAGTCTGCCTGTATATTGAGAGTCCTCCTGTACGTAGGGAGTCTACCTGTATATTGAGTGTCCTGTATGTAGGGAGTCTGCCTGTATATTGAGAGTCCTCCTGTATAGAGAGAGTTATGTGTTGATGTTAAGCAACAAACACTGACACTGTCTCAGTGATAAATACATATCTTCAAAGAGGATCCCAGCACGACATACACTGAGAGATCTGTTCCAGCTTGCACCTACTTTGTGGATGCCATGAGCAGCTTTGGGGCAGTTCCAGTTGACTTCAGCACGGGCAACATTGATGTCTTGGTCAGCTCTGCCAACAAGTGTCTGCAGGGGGTCCCAGGTTTTGGGTTTGCAGTCATCAGGAAGGACACGCTCAGTCGGTGCAAGGGTAGGAGAGTCATTGCTTCACCTCCGGATATAACAATCAATTAGTAATATAATCAATTCTTAATTATGATAATTACACGAAACACGTGAGGGTTATGATCTCTTTATCATGTGATATCATTGTTAAGATAATAAAAGTTAGAGACACTAAAAATGATTTAAGAAACAGTGTCTGAATACAATTTATGAGTGAACTACCCCATTAATTAGGTATGCATTAGCAGGATATATATCCACTATGTCCTCTCTTACATCCTGAGTTGACTCATCTGGAACAAGACAAGATGGAGACTGAAACTTGTCATGGGAGTAGTCCACTATGTTTCAGACTCACAATGTTCTACCTCTTAACTTTCACTGACTTCAACTGTCCTGGACCTTGATTTGTTTCAGGCAACTCTCGGAGTCTGAGTCTGGACTTGTATGACCAGTGTGATGCTCTGGACAAGACCAGTCAGTTCCGGTTCACTCCGGCCACACACACAATGCTGGCGTTCAGTCAGGCCCTGGATGAGTTTCGGCAAGAAGGGGGAGTCCATGGCCGCAGACAGAGGTGAGTGTTACTTTGGCAACCTGGCAGTCCATGGTACCTCTGTTAATGTTATATTTCTTTTATTCATTAAGAATCTTGAGAGTCAAATTCATGGAGATTAGAATATCATGAATATCACAAGACTATTGACAACATCAGAATGCAATGGCAGGATTTGAAATAATAGTACCCATGTTGGTCATATTCTACATGAGGGTGTGGGCGGGAGGTAGTAGCAAGGTGTTCCATGTCTGTGTGGGCTGGAGGTAGTAGTGAGGTGTTCCATGTCTGTGTGGGCTGGAGGTAGTAGTGAGGTGTTCCATGTCTGTGAGGGCTGGAGGTAGTAGTGAGGTGTTCCATGTCTGTGAGGGCTGGAGGTAGTAGCGAGGTGTTCCATGTCTGTGAGGGCTGGAGGTAGTAGAGAGGTGTTCCATGTCTGTGAGGGCTGGAGGTAGTAGGGAGGTGTTCCATGTCTGTGAGTGCTGGAGGTAGTAGAGAGGTGTTCCATGTCTGTGAGGGCTGGAGGTAGTAGTGAGGTGTTCCATGTCTGTGAGGGCTGGAGGTAGTAGTGAGGTGTTCCATGTCTGTGTTGGCTGGAGGTAGTAGGGAGGTGTTCCATGTCTGTGTGAGCTGGAGGTAGTAGCGAGGTGTTCCATGTCTGTGAGTGCTGGAGGTAGTAGCGAGGTGTTCCATGTCTGTGAGGGCTGGAGGTAGTAGAGAGGTGTTCCATGTCTGTGAGGGCTGGAGGTAGTAGGGAAGTGTTCCATGTCTGTGAGGGCTGGAGGTAGTAGAGAGGTGTTCCATGTCTGTGTGGGCTGGAGGTAGTAGAGAGGTGTTCCATGTCTCTGAGGGCTGGAGGTAGTAGCGAGGTGTTCCATGTCTGTGAGTGCTGGAGGTAGTAGAGAGGTGTTCCATGTCTGTGAGTGCTGGAGGTAGTAGCGAAGTGTTCCATGTCTGTGAGGGCTGGAGGTAGTAGTGGTGTTCCATGTCTGTGTGGGCTGGAGGTAGTAGCGAGGTGTTCCATGTCTCTGAGGGCTGGAGGTAGTAGGGAGGTGTTCCATGTCTGTGAGTGCTGGAGGTAGTAGCGAGGTGTTCCATGTCTGTGAGGGCTGGAGGTAGTAGAGAGGTGTTCCATGTCTGTGAGTGCTGGAGGTAGTAGAGAGGTGTTCCATGTCTGTGAGTGCTGGAGGTAGTAGAGAGGTGTTCCATGTCTGTGAGGGCTGGAGGTAGTAGAGAGGTGTTCCATGTCTGTGTGTGCTGGAGGTAGTAGCGAGGTGTTCCATGTCTGTGAGTGCTGGAGGTAGTAGCGAGGTGTTCCATGTCTGTGAGGGCTGGAGGTAGTAGTGAGGTGTTCCATGTCTGTGAGGGCTGGAGGTAGTAGGGAGGTGTTCCATGTCTGTGAGTGCTGGAGGTAGTAGTGAGGTGTTCCATGTCTGTGAGGGCTGGAGGTAGTAGCGAGGTGTTCCATGTCTGTGAGGGCTGGAGGTAGTAGTGGTGTTCCATGTCTCTGAGTGCTGGAGGTAGTAGCGAGGTGTTCCATGTCTGTGAGGGCTGGAGGTAGTAGCGAGGTGTTCCATGTCTGTGAGGGCTGGAGGTAGTAGTGAGGTGTTCCATGTCTGTGAGGGCTGGAGGTAGTAGGAGGTACTGGTGAGGTTAGTGTTCCAGTCTTGTGAAAAAGACTATTCTGTTCCAGATACACAGAAAACTGCAGGGTCCTACGTGAAGGAATGACACGTCTTGGCTTCCGTCCATATTTGAAGGACGACGTTGCTGGCTACATTATCACTTCCTACTTCTACCCGCAACATCCCAACTTCTCCTTTCCAGAGTTCTACAGACGCCTAAATGACAAAGGTGGGTCTTGTCTAACCTTGACTTACACATCCCAAGGCCAGACCTTTATTTATCTCCTGGTTAACTTTTTTATGAAAAATCCTTTTGTAGGTTGACTTTTTGTGTGTAAATTTCAATATCTCAATATGTTTCCATGTGTGCGATGTTTGTTGTTATCTCCTCATTGATTGCAAGCTGCAGGGAGGTCGGGTGGGCTAGTGGTTAAAGCGTTCGATTGTCAAGCTGAAGACTAGGTTCAATTCCCGATATGGGTACAATGTGTGAAGCCAATTTCTGGTGTTCCCCCCCCCCCCCCCCCCCCTGTGATATTGCTGAAATATTTCTATAAACCCAACTCACTCACTTATTAGAATGTGCAGAATGGTGGTGCTGTGTGGTGTTGTGGTTACTTGTAAGTTTGTAGTCCGTCAAATAATATGTTGTGATTTTCTGATTAAGTTTACATTTACATTTTAAATTCTTGTCAGACCTTGCTTCCCTGTTTCTGGTCTCTGGGAAAATGTAGGGTGTGTTTACTTGAATGAATGATGTTTTCAGGATTGTTAACAATACAAAATGTGTATGTTTTGACTTCCAGATGATGTGATTTACCCAGGCAAGTTGCTCAAAGCAGACTGTTTTCGTATTGGAACAATCGGGCATTTGTTTCCAGAAGATGTTGAACGACTGTTGAGGAATATAGAAGTTGTATGTAGGGATATGGGCATGCAAGTCCCCCTGGAGAACTAGACGTTGCGATGACAACCATCTACTGGCACCAAGGGGAAATGTCTGCATGTAGATGACACTTTCTGTGGGCATTATGTATTTGTATGTCTTTGTGCCAACTATTGTCATTCTGTTATTACAGAGATATTTCTGTGCCTCTTTGTACCTAGAATTGTCCATCAGTTCTATAAGGGTGCATGCGTGTCTTTGTACCAAGTTGTATTCATGGCTCACTTGTGTATATATCAACTTGTTCTTGTTTCTATATGGCTGAAAAATGCCAATGTGATGTTAAGTATTAACTCACTCACTCACTCTCTCACCCAAAATTGGTAAGGCTATTAATATGATCACAGGGGTGGAGGGGTAGCCATACATGTGGGCTTCAATTGGGTGTTCACTTGGATGTTTTCAGGGTGTACAACTTTGTAAATTGTAGCTTATTGCCATTGAACATGTTTGTTGAATCAACCAGTGGCACACTGATGCTGTCTCCTCTGTGGCCTGGTAGAGGTGGCACTATGTCCAAGCCAAACCTGGTAGAGGTGGCTCTATGTCCCAGCCGAACCTGGTAGAGGTGGCTCTATGTCCCAGCCAAACCTGGAAGACAAGGCTCTATGTTCCAGTCAAACCTGGTAGAGGTGGCTCTATGTCCCAGCCAAACCTGGAAGACAAGGCTCTATGTCCCAGCCAAACCTGGTAGAGGTGGCTCTATGTCCCAGTCAAACCTGGTAGAGGTGGCTCTAGGTCCCAGCCAAACCTGGTAGAGGTGGCTCTATGTCCCAGCCCAACCTGGTAGAGGTGGCTCTATGTCCCAGCCAAACCTGGTAGAGGTGGCTCTATGTCCCAGCCAAACCTGGTAGAGATGGCTCTATGTCCCAGCCAAACCTGGTAGAGATGGCTCTATGTCCCAGCCAAACCTGGTAGACAAGGCTCTATGTCCCAGCCAAACCTGGTAGAGATGGCTCTATGTCCCAGCCAAACCTGGTAGAGGTGGCTCTATGTCCCAGCCAAACCTGGTAGAGATGGCTCTATGTCCCAGCCAAACCTGGTAGAGGTGGCTCTATGTCCCAGCCAAACCTGGTAGACAAGGCTCTATGTCCCAGCCAAACCTGGTAGAGGTGGCTCTATGTCCCAGCCAAACCTGGTAGACAAGGCTCTATGTCCCAGCCAAACCTGGTAGACAAGGCTCTATGTCCCAGCCAAACCTGGTAGACAAGGCTCTATGTCCCAGCCAAACCTGGTAGACAAGGCTCTATCTCCCAGCCAAACCTGGTAGACAAGGCTCTATGTCCCAGCCAAACCTGGTAGACAAGGCTCTATCTCCCAGCCAAACCTGGTAGACAAGGCTCTATGTCCCAGCCAAACCTGGTAGACAAGGCTCTATGTTCAAGGCAAGCTTTACTACAAGTATTCAGTACTTGTCTATCAATCTTTCTGTAAAATGGTTTAATGTTAGATGAGGGCAAAGATTAAACCGGAACATCAGTTACCAGCATGTCTGTTACATGATATGTTGTTTTCCTAAGAAGCAAGACACAATTTGTTTCTATGGTAACTGACGAGTTTGCCATATGCAAATCCCCTTCAGGGAAGGATGAGTCAGGGAACTATACTTTCTGCCATGTGAAGGCAAATAGATTGCATCAGTTTAAAAGGTGGTCGGCAGTTTTATTTTATGGGTTGCCCACTTGGAGATTATGGTTGTGGTATGGAGCATGTGGACGACACAGGATTTCACCTGGTTGATTGTGTGAGTGTGTTCACTGATGATGTGGATGACACAGGATTTCACCTGGTTGATTGTGTGAGTGTGGTCACTGTTGATGTGGACGACACAGGATTTCACCTGGTTGATTGTGTGTGAGTGTGTTCACTGATGATGTGGACGACACAGGATTTCACCTGGTTGATTGTGTGTGAGTGTATGTTGATGATATGGATCGCTGCTCATGCTGTCAACCACTGGGTTGCTTTGCCCAGACGCAAATATTGTTGTAATACAACATCCAGTATGGAGTTTTAAGGAATCATGTCATAATTTTCAGTTCTTCATGAAGCAAAGATCATGTTGTTTTTTCCATTATTGTATAATCAGTCTTTATTTCTTTGAAATAAATATTCATGTTTGCATTATATGATTGTTATACAGAATCATATTTTCTACAAATTTAATGTCATTGAATATTAATGATTTATTAAATATTTACAACTTTTTCCTACAAGACTAGTGTTTGTTGTAGTTTAGCGGTTGCCATCCTAGGGGCCCTCTAACCCGCGTCATCATTTTCAGGTGCCACAGACATTGGTCATCACCCTCAGGGCACTCAGACATGGGTCATCACCCTCAGGGCACTCAGACATGGGTCATTACCCTTAGGGCACTCAGACATGGGTCATCACCCTCAGGGCACTCAGACATGGGTCATCATCCTCAGGGATCTTAACATTGGTCTTCACCCTCAGGGCACTCAGACATGGGTCATTACCCTCAGGGCACTCAGACATGGGTCATCACCCTCAGGGATCTTAACATTGGTCTTCACCCTCAGGGCACTCAGACATGGGTCATTACCCTTAGGGCACTCAGACATGGGTCATCACCCTCAGGGCACTCAGACATGGGTCATTACCCTCAGGGCACTCAGACATGGGTCATTACCCTTAGGGATCTTAACATTGGTCTTCACCCTCAGGGCACTCAGACATGGGTCATTACCCTCAGGGCACTCAGACATGGGTCATCACCCTCAGGGCACTCAGACATGGGTCATTACCCTTAGGGATCTTAACATTGGTCTTCACCCTCAGGGCACTCAGACATGGGTCATTACCCTTAGGGCACTCAGACATGGCTCATCACCCTCAGGGCACTCAGACATTGGTCATCACCCTCAGGGCACTCAGACATGGGTCATTACCCTAAGGGATCTTAACATTGGTCTTCACCCTCAGGGCACTCAGACATGGGTCATTACCCACAGGGCACCCATACATGGGTCATTACCCTCAGGGATCTTAACATGGGTCTTCACCCTCAGGGCACTCAGACATGGGTCATCACCCTCAGGGCACCCAGGCATCGGTCATTCCCTCAGAGCTCTCAACATGAGTCTTCACCCTCAGGGCACTCCAGATGGGTCATCAAACCTCAGGGCACTCAGACATGGGTCTTCACCCCCAGGGCACTCCAGATGGGTCATCAACCTCAGGGCACTCAGACATGAGTCATCACCCTCAGGGCACTCAACATAGGTCAGCACTCTCTGGGCACCCAGACATGGGCCATCACCTGCAGGGCCCCCAGACATTTATTATCACTCTCAAGGCACCTAGATATGGGTCATCACCCTCAGGCCATTTAGACATGGGTCATCAACCTAAGGGCACTCAGACATGGGTCATCACCCTCAGGCCATTCAGACATGGGTCATCACCCTAAGGGCACTCAGACATGGGTCATCACCCTCAGGGCTCTCAGACATGGGTCATCACCCTCAGGTCATTCAGACATGGGTCATCAACCCAGGGCACTCAGACATGGGTCATCATCCTCAGGTCACTCAGACATGGGTCATCATCCCAGGGCACAGACATGGGTCATCATCCTCAGGGCACCCTCAAACATGGGACATAACCCTCAGGGCACCCAGACATGGGACCAAACCCTCAGGGCACCCAGACATGGGACACCCCCCTCAGACATGGGACATCACCCTCAGGGCATTCAGACAGTCAGCAATCTCAGGGCATTCAGACAGTCGGCACCCTCAGGTCATTCAGACTTGGGACACACCCCCGGACATTCAGACAGCATCCTCAGGACATTCAACATTGGTCATCACCCTCTGGGCATTCAGACAGTCAGCACCCCACATTGCCCTGCTAACTAGCCACAGTTCACCTATCCACATCTGATGTGGTCCGTGACACTTCCAACATGAAGGGGTGGTTCTCTCCCCTCATACACTTCAAATCGAGGTCTAGACATGGCCACCATATTGAAAAGTCCTTTTGGTTCATTACTGAGCTGTAGTGAATAAGTTAGATGTTTAGGCCGCTCTGCACAGTCTTTCAGTGGTATCACACCTTGTCACTGAAACTTTTAGGAAAACCCGATCTGATGCAGGTCTCCAACATTTACTACTTTGGTGAAACCCACCATCATTCTGCCACGTCAGCGAAATCCGACGCCCAAGACGCACATCTTCCCGAGGCAAAGGCGTTAACTGACTGTAAAAGTCCAGTTTCCACGCTTGCCGAACTAGGCTAGAATTTCCAGGCTCGATCGTAGCGCCACCAGTGGCTAACACGAGTTATGTCCCTTCTAAGTCCTTCCTATTGGCCAATCAGATTCAATCTCTCATATCACTTGCATTTGCTTTAAAAAAAGGCGACGCCCTGTCAAGCCGGTTTGATCCATAATCAAGATCTATATTGTAAACGGGTCTTATCCCGCTAAGTGCCGAAACATTACTTGAGCACCTTGATTAAAAACATGAAAAGATTTACAAAATATCTGTCGACGCCCAGATGACGGTACACATGCTTTGCAAATGCTGCAGTCGACTGAAACCTGCACTTGAAATCCATGACGGATGTATAGTTCGTAACTCGATTTTGATTGGACTAAGCATAGACTCATTAGTCCAGCCAAAATGTAACTCCGAAATTCCAGCCTTGTTCGGCTGACTTTATAGTAGACGTTTATAGTCGGTTAACACCCCTGCCTCGGGAACATCTAGACGCATGGACTGAACATTTATGTATGCATTTGTCATTTGGTGTATGTGCAGTAGGGTGTCATCATCGCGAGGCAAGAGAGTTAACAGACTTTAAAAGTCCAGTTTCCACCCTTGCCGAACTAGGCTGGAATTCCTGGGCTCGATCGTAGCGCCACCAATGGCTGTTACGAGTTAAGTCCCTTCTATGCCTCTCCTATGGACCAATCAGATTCCACCTCTCGTATCGCTTGCATTTGCTTCAAACAAAATGGCGGCGCCCCGTCAAGACGATCTGACCGACAATCAAAATCTACATTGTGAGAAAACAGGTCTTACATCGCCAAATACAACACGTGAGCACCTTGATTAAAAACTTAAAAAGATTTGGAAAATATCTGTTGACAACGAGTTGGCGGTTCACATGCTGTGCAAATCCTGCAATCGACCGAAATCTGCATGACAGTTTACGAACCGGATTTCGATTTCAGTGCGCGATTTTTATTGGACTATGCAGAGACTCGTTAGTCCAGCCAAAATTTAACTCCATAATACCAGCCTAGTTCGGCAATGGTGGAAACTGGACTTTTATAGTCAGTTAACTCCCTTGCCTCGGGAAGATGTAGGGCGATGAATATGTATGGTGTGACATCATCGTGGGTTGTTACTCTCACAGCAGCCGTCATTTGCCGTGTTTCACAGTTTGAAGTGTCATGTGAAACTGCAGTGTACGAAGCGTATACCTTTGATAGATGAATTCCTCGAATCAATCCAGCCAATCAATAGCCATTCTATAATTGTTGCCATTTAATAAATGCCTAAAACTTGTTCAGATGATCTCAGAATGTATGCTGCTAAGCTACTGTTGTGCAACGTAATGGTTAGAAAACGTTAAACTGACTGGATAACAACTTCTGGTGAATTTTATATTTGGACGTTTGGATGTAGATTCTAAGAGTCTATTACACCGTTATCAAGCTTCCACTCCACTCCACTCCACTCCAGCTTGATAACGAAACGTCGCTATATGCAATAAACCAGAAGTTGTTATCCAGAAAGCTGTACACTTTCTTACTTACACACCAACTTCTAGATTGCCAGTCAAACAGTTCATCTAACTACTTAAATTTACCGCCTTGTAGATTCACCAGGCTCTGGTTTTAGGAAACAATACAACCACGTAAGCTAAGTATGCACAATGGGCCTGATCCATCTAAGTTCAGTAATACACGAATCGACCCGTGAAGATCCGGGTCTTCAACAGCCCATGTTTGTGAGAGACGACTAACGGGATCGGGTGGTCAGGCTCGCTGACTTGGTTGATGCATGTCATTGCATCCCATCGATGCCCATGATGGCAATCACTGGATTGTCTGGTCCAGATTCGAATATTATTCGATTATATTATAGCTTGAATATTGTTGAGTGTAGAGTAAAACAACAAACTAAACAAATATACACGGATCCTATGTGAATCTTTACTTGTGAATGTTCATTCTGATCGTGTTTGAGTCCTTGTTTCACAGTCCATAGTGTTGATTTACATTACTTCACGCGAAGGTCATGTAAGTGAGCTACAGAACATATATATATGTCTCGGGTTGTCTCCGCGTCGTCAACAGTTGAATCTTCAGGGAACTCTTTATTCAACGTACTAGTAAACTTATCTCGATATAAACGATATATCTAAGTTTGCGTTACATTAGCGGTGTTTATAGCAAGCTCGTTGACAAAGTGATGACAGGAGTGACGTGCGCACTCTGCAATAATACGGATGGGACAATGACTGGCTGGAGTGATTGTGGAGCACGCACCTGCACTGATGGCCCCGCCGACCTGCCTGTCAGTGATGGTGCTCGGCTGACATTGTTATAACAACAGGACGTCGTATGGTGTGCTGGTGGTGTTGGGTGTACAACTGACGCCGCCATGCTGGTGGAGAGAACCACTTGTCCCCCCTGGCCAGAATGCCAGACCAATTCTCACAACACCAGGTAGGGCAGCTTACTCTAATTACATGTCGACCTTGATGTGATGGTCAGTGTTGTGTGTCTCCTACATGTTAACCATGTTGCCATGGTATCTCTGGCATATAAACTGTCCAATTGATATGAAACGGTCGCGAAAATATAATCTCGAATATCATACAAAAGTCCGAGGAAAATGACCGTGACGGCACCATGAAGCCAGTCCAGGCTCTTGCATGCCTCCCACAGCCGTCGTACCTCCACCACAATTCATGTACTATGTTCAATAACTGACCTCTATACGCATGTGATAAAAGTCCCGTGTTCAGGCACTGACCTCTATACGCATGAGATAAAAGCCCCGAGTTCATGCACTGACCTCTATACACATGGAATAAAAGTCCCGTGTTCAAGCACTGACCTCTATACGCATGAGATAAAAGCCCCGAGTTCATGCACTGACCTCTATATACATGGAATAAAAGTCCCGTGTTCATGCACTGACCTCTATACGCATGAGATAAAAGTCCCGTGTTCATGCACTGACCTCTATACGCATGAGATAAAAGCCCCGAGTTCATGCACTGACCTCTATACGCATGTGATAAAAGTCCCGTGTTCATGCACTGACCTCTATACGCATGTGATAAAAGTCCCGTGTTCATGCACTGACCTCTATACGCATGAGATAAAAGTCCCGTGTTCAAGCACTGACCTCTATACACATGGAATAAAAGCCCCGAGTTCATGCACTGACCTCTAAACACATGAGACAAAAGTCCCCGTGTTCAAGCACTGACCTCTATACGCATGTGATAAAAGTCTCCGTGTTCAAGCACTGACCTCTAAACACATGTGATAAAAGCCCCGTGTTCAAGCACTGACCTCTAAACACATGTGATAAAAGTCCCCGTGTTTATGCACTGACCTCTATACGCATGAGATAAAAGCCCCGTGTTCAAGCACTGACCTCTAAACACATGTGATAAAAGCCCCGTGTTCAAGCACTGACCTCTAAACACATGTGATAAAAGTCCCCGTGTTTATGCACTGACCTCTATACGCATGAGATAAAAGCCCCGTGTTCAAGCACTGACCTCTATACAAATGAGATAAAAATCCTGTGTTCATGCGCTGACCTCTATACAAATGAGATAAAAGTCCCGTGTTCATGCGCTGACCTCTATACAAATGAGATAAAAGCCCCGTGTTTATGCACTGACCTCTATACAAATGAGATAAAAGTCCCGTGTTCAAGCACTGACCTCTATACAAATGAGATAAAAGTCCCGTGTTCAAGCACTGACCTCTATACAAATGAGATAAAAGTCCCGTGTTCATGCACTGACCTCTATACACATGAGATAAAAGCACGGTTCCTCAAAGTGACCGTTCCTGGTGCCTTGAATCTTCTTTTGTCAATTATCACACATACAAAGTGCAGCTTTCTAAGTCTTGTGGTACTTGAGAATAAGTGTTCGAATATTGTTCAAATATTTGAATTTTCAAATATTATTAAGAAAAACATACTATAAAAGCCTCGACTGTTGAACAAAACATGTCTCCATGAGAAAAAATATCAGTCCTCAGTCCAGCAGTTTCGGAAGAGCTGAGGTTTAGAGTGCCACAGATGAATTTTGAGAGGATATTTAAGAACCTCTTGTGAAGACGGGGCGGGAACAATGTCAAGTTTCAGTTCACCCCGGCGGTGTCGGAGAACACAATGTTCAGGAAGGACGACGCAAGACTGACCCTGGACAAACAGGACAGGACATTAGCTCACTTTACTTTCAGTCAGGTGAGCTAATAATTAGGACTAGGAAAATGTAAACCATGGATGCAAGTCTGAATGTGTTGGGTCAGAAATCACATCAACTTCCACAATACGTCCTGACTTTATACCGGTAGTGTTATTGTGCAACACGTGACCCGATCATGACCATCAAACTCCAGTCTCCCCTGTCACAACAGACCCTCAGTAAATTATACGTGCAGTTAGACTAACACTTAGTCAGTGACAACATGTCTCTAAAATAATATACTGAACAACAAAAGTTCCTGTAACATTGACTGTTTGCAACAGATAAAAGACTCCTGTAAGTGTTCAAATGGTTTAATTTGCCATACTGACTTCAGAAAATGCGTGATTTCATAAAATAAACATGAACATGCCAAAATATCAATTTACAAATCAATAGCATGTGTGTCCACCCCTGGTTGCGATGCAAGCAGCACATCTTCGTCTCATGGAATGGACCAGGCGTCGCAAAAAGTTCTGTGGGATATCGGTCCATATCTGCTGGAGCATGTTTAGAAGTTCCTGGAGTGTCTGTGGAACACGTGGTTGACGTCGAAGGCGCCGATCCATCTCATCCAACCAATGCTCGATTGGTGAGAGATCAAGGGAGCGAGCCGGCCAGGGGATGACATTCACGTTGTTTTGTTGAAGAAAAGTCGAGCAATATGAGGCCGGGCGTTGTCATGTTGAAAGGTTATGCATGGGCCATGACGACGCAAAAACGGTAGAACAACAGGGCCGATGATCTCGTCGCGTTGGCGCTGTCCATTGAGATTTCCCTCTACCGCTATCAAAAGGGTCCCCTGTCTTGCTGTAATCCCACCCCATACCATAACGCTGCCGCCCCCGAACCGATCTTCTTCCATGACACAGTGATTGATGTAACGTTCACCTCGACGTCGGTACACTCGAATCCGTCCATCGCTGTGGCCGAGGTGAAAACGGGACTCGTCAGTGAATAGAACTTGTCCCCACTGCATGGCCGTCCAGCGTAGACGCTGTCTGCACCACTGTAAACGTGCTTGGCGGTGGTTTCTTGTCAAAATGGGACGTCTGGCGGGTCTTCTGGCGACAATCCCTGCACATCTGAGGAGACGACGTACGGTTTGTGAAGATATTCGTCGAAGGCCAGTGATGCTTCTTGCGGTCACTGTTGGTGGCTGGAATCGATTTCGTAGGTTGTTCGAATCCAGTTGTCTTGTCGATTATTGGTTACGCGTGGCCTGCCACTCCGAGGATGGTCTCTGACTGCATTCGTATAGTGCCAACGTTGCCATAAACACCAAATGGTGTTTCTGTGGACGTTAAATAGTCTTGCAACATCACGTTGACTCGATCCTGCTTCAAGCATACCAATGGCTTGCGGACGCTCATTTTCGGACAGGCGTGGCATTTCGTAATGTTAAATTATTGCGTAATTTTGTTGTTTTTCTGAGTGGTGGTTGTCGGCACGATGCTAAACAATGCATATGGAACCCGTTAACGCACATGTTTTTATACCCATTCTTGGGTAGTGAAATGCATGGGGCTTGCATAAAAGTCAATTTTGCATGGAATGCATGCTTTTCTGTAGCAGTTGCGTTTTTGTGACTTGATTCCACGACAATACAATACTACAGTACTACAATATTGAAAACCAAACTACACTAAAATACACTAAAATATTGATGTCACAGGAACTTTTGTTGTTGAGTATATAACAAATTCTTTTCGGAAGAACTTTTCCTCTTCTGCAATGTGGAATTAAGCAAACTAGACTTGCCTAGGCTTTTAGTAAAAAGAAATACCTAAAAAATAAAATATAAATTCCAAAGTCAGGACTAACGTGCAGTAAGAGCGTCTTGAAATGGGATTCGTGGTTAAATTATGTGGCCTCCATCCATAAAACGGTTTTCTAGCTCTTCTATTAGCGGAAGTCTATATATTGGGGTTACGCCAGTCCTATTTACTATTGTATGCATATGTTGTGGCGTGGTCGTTGTAGTGCTAATGCACAAGTCATCAATCAATGTCTTATCTGAGGTTGACCCTGTTATTTACAGGGCCCAGCTGCAGGTGGGAATGTGGCACTTTACACGGGCAATAACGCAAGTAACTATGACAACAATGTAATACAATAATAAACTCTGCATCGTATAGTTCAGTGTTACTGTTACTGTACAACAGTCTTCTCCGACACCCGGTACCGTAAGTCACCGTGACCCCCAGCGACGTGGTCAAGCCGTGGTTACTGGTGGCGGACAGCCCGTGTTTTAAACTGAAGATAATATTGTTATGCCAAAATATGTTTGACAAATTTGTATTGATCAATAACTTTGTATTGATGACTCACTTGTGTATATATCAACTTGTTCGCGTCGCTATATGGCTGAAATAATGCCGATGCGACGTTAAATTTGAACACACTCACTCACTCCAACACCCGGTGCCCTGTGTTTCAGGCTGCTCCTCCCACCGACGTACGGCAGTCTTTGTGTGTTTGCCACGTGCATCAACCCCGTCCTCGGCCCTCTCGCCCTCGGGGCCAACCACCGGGCTCTCCGTCTCACACGGCATGGGCACTACACAGTGGCCAACTACTACTACTTCGCCGCCATCTTCTTCAGCGTTGCAGCCTGTGTGAGCACTGTGTGTGTCTTGATCCTGCTGACAGTGGAGCTGTCCATCAGGCGGAGTCAGGAGGCACGTAGACACCGGGAGCCCGACGAGCAGACCAAACGCTGCATGCAGTACCTGCACGTACTGGACCCGAGCAGAGCTGTCGTAAGCATAGGCGAAGACGTGTGCAAAGACATCAGCCGTTTCTCTGCACGGGAAGTGAAGAAGGCGCTCACGGAATTGGCGGTTAAAAGGAAAAAAGCCGGCATGAAAATGAAAACTGAGCAGACATCTTTGAACTCTACTGATGAAGACAACTGAAAGGCCGAGGGTCGTCAACCTTGCGAAGCATTACTTCTGTGGAAACACACACCGGACGTAGCATTACTTCTGTGGAAACACACATCAGACGTAGCATTACTTCTGTGGAAACACACACCAGACGTAGCATTACTTCTGTGGAAACACACACCAGACGTAGCATTACTTCTGTGGAAACACACACCAGACGTAGCATTACTTCCGTGGAAACACACACCAGACGTAGCATTACTTCTGTGGAAACACACACCAGACGTAGCATTACTTCTGTGGAAACACACACCAGACGCAGCATTACTTCTGTAGGAACACACACCAGACGTAGCATTACTTCTGTAGGAACACACACCAGACGTAGCATTACTTCTGTAGGAACACACACCAGACGTAGCATTACTTCTGTAGGAACAAACACCAGACGTTGCTTTACTTCTGTAGGAACACACATCAGACGTAGCATTACTTCTGTAGGAACAAACACCAGACGTAGCATTACTTCTGAAGGAACACACACCAGACGTAGCATTACTTCTGTGGAAACACACACCAGACGCAGCATTACTTCTGTAGGAACATACATCAGACATAGCATTACTTCTGTAGGAACAAACACCAGACGTAGCATTACTTCTGAAGGAACACACACCAGACGTAGCATTACTTCTGAAGGAACACACACCAGACGTAGCATTACTTCTGAAGGAACACACACCAGACGTAGCATTACTTCTGTAGGAACACACATCAGACGTAGCTTTACTTCTGTAGGAACACACACCAGACGTAGCATTACTTCTGTAGGAACACACACCAGACGTAGCATTACTTCTGTAGGAACACACACCAGACGTAGCATTACTTCTGTAGGAACACATGCCAGACGTTGCTTTACTTCTGTAGGAACACACATCAGACGTAGAAATCCTTCGTTAGGAACACACACCAGACGTAGCATTACTTCTGTAGGAACACACACCAGACGTAGCATTAGTTCTGTAGGAACACACACCAGACGTTGCTTTACTTCTGTAGGAACACACACCAGACGTAGCATTACTTCTGTAGGAACACACACCAGACGTAGCATTACTTCTGTAGGAACACACACCAGACGTAGCATTACTTCTGTAGGAACACACACCAGACGTAGCATTACTTCTGTGGAAACACACACCAGACGCAGCATTACTTCTGTAGGAACACACACCAGACATAGCATTACTTCTGTAGGAACACACACCAGACGTAGCATTACTTCTGTGGAAACACACAGCAGACGTAGCATTACCTCTGTGGACACACACACCAGACGTAGCATTACTTCTGTAGGAACACACACCAGACGTTGCTTTACTTCTGTAGGAACACACATCAGACGTAGCATTACTTCTGTTGGAACACACACCAGACGCAGCATTACTTCTGTAGGAACACACATCAGACGTAGCATTACTTCTGTTGGAACACACACCAGACGTAGCATTACTTCGTTAGGAACACACACCAGACGTAGCATTGCTTCTGTAGGAACACACACCAGACGTAGCATTACTTCTGTAGGAACACACACCAGACGTAGCATTACTTCTGTAGGAACACACATCAGACGTGGCATTACTTCTGTAGGAACATACACCAGATGTAGCATTACTTCTGTAGGAACACACACCAGACGTAGCATTTGTTTTTGTAGGAACACACACCAGACGTAGCATTACTTCTGTAGGAACACACACCAGACGTAGCATTACTTCTGTAGGAACACACACCAGACGTAGCATTACTTCTGTATGAACACACATTAGACGTAGCTTTACTTCTGTAGGAACACACATCAGACGTAGCAATCCTTCGTTAGGAACACACACCAGACGTAGCATTACTTCTGTAGGAACACACACCAGACGTAGCATTACTTCTGTAGAAACACACACCAGACGTAGCATTACTTCTGTAGGAACACACACCAGACGTAGCATTACTTCTGTAGGAACATACACCAGACGTAGCATTACTTCTGTAGGAACACACACCAGACGTAGCATTACTTCTGTAGGAACACACACCAGACGTAGCATTACTTCTGTAGGAACACACACCAGACGTAGCATTACTTCTGTAGGAACATACACCAGACGTAGTATTACTTCTGTAGGAACACACACCAGACATAGCATTACTTCTGTAGGAACACATACCAGACGTAGCATTACTTCTGTGGAAACACATACGACGTAGCATTACTTCTGTAGGAACACACACCAGACGTAGCATTACTTCTGTAGGAACACACACCAGACGTAGCATTACTTCTGTTGGAACACACACCAGACGTAGCATTACTTCTGTAGGAACACACACCAGACGTAGCATTTGTTTTGTAGGAACACACGCCAGACGTAGCATTACTTCTGAAGGAACACACACCAGACGTAGCATTACTTCTGTAGGAACACACACCAGACGTAGCATTACTTCTGTAGGAACACACACCAGACGTAGCATTACTTCTGTAGGAACACACATCAGACGTAGCATTACTTCTGTAGGAACACACACCAGACGTGGCATTACTTCTGTGGAAAGACATACGACGTAGCATTACTTCTGTAGGAACACACACCAGACGTAGCATTACTTCTGTAGGAACACACACCAGACGTAGCATTACTTCTGTAGGAACACACACCAGACGTAGCATTACTTCTGTAGGAACACACATCAGACGCAGCATTACTTCTGTAGGAACACACACCAGACGTAGCATTACTTCTGTAGGAACACACACCAGACGTAGCATTACTTCTGTAGGAACACACACCAGACGTAGCATTACTTCTGTAGGAACACACACCAGACGTAGCATTTGTTTTGTAGGAACACACACCAGACGTAGCATTACTTCTTTACGAACATACACAATGAAATACCCAATGAAACTACATGACAATCTTCCTGTTAGTGAACGTGTAACTTGATACTGTACAAAATCTTAAGGACCGTTTGGATCACGTTGGCCGGACATGAACTCATGCTTCCATGTCACTGATAATGAAATATATTTAACGGGCTACAACCCCGGTATCCGTACATGACATTCCATGTAACCTTGATTATGCTGACGTCCCAACAGAAAGGAATAAACTTCCATGTCTCTTGTGATGTCCAGATTTCTATCTACCTGACCATGGTCGGAGAGTCTTCGTTAACCTTACAACACCATTACACAAAAATACGGAAACATTATCAGCTTAAACCAGTTTGAAGATCGCAATGAATCGATATGTATCGCATCAACGACTTAAATATGGTGGTTGATCATCTGTAAAACCTGTCAGTGTGTATATCGCTCTATTGACACCATTATTGTTAAACAAGCACGGTGTTAGCTTGATGTTGACGTTTGTCACCTTGGTGAATCCCACGTCCACAGATGTGGTGCTGGTTGACCTATGATTATTATCGGGTCGAATGTGGGTTCAGACCCGCTATCATAGGATCCAGGCAGTGTACGGCATCCCAACAATCCACAACCAACCACCCGTGCCCCCATACGATCATATGTCAAAACGTACAATATTTATTATTTAGTCCAGACGAAAGAGTTTTCCTTCTCAAGCATGTGTCATAGGTGGTCTTCTTGCCCAAACGTGTTTTCATGGATTGTAATTTGGAGTAAAGGACAATTTGGGGATTTTGTAGTCTGGAGACTATATTTGTATTTTAATATTATTTTTTTAGAATTTCTTTCTTTTTTTTCAACAGTCTGAATATTTTTTTCAAGTTTTTTCTGTGACAATTTTATTTCTTGCGATAAAATCCAAGCGCTGTTCTTTGCCTGTCGCCAAATAAGGCAATGTCAGCAGAAGTACACGCTATTTGTAAACTATCAGTGAGGAGTTGTCTCATACTGGATACGGTTGCCTAGACAACCAGATACACGATACTCCAGAGGATGCTATGAACATGCTAAAACGCCTTGGTTACTTTGGCGATATGTACTGGGCCCCCGCGGTCAGGGACATTCTGACTCCGCATGGATTTACATATGCGTGGATATCACAGGATGTCGGAAATCAAAAATTTTCCTAAAAATGTTTTACGTAACGATGTAAAGATTACAGACCACGCCCAAGACCTGTCAGCTGATATCAGGTGTTGAAAGTCGCTACCTGCCTACTCCATGTTTAAGATGGATATCATATCAGAGATGTATCTAACAACTATTCAATCTATACGTTAACGCAGATGTTTATAGAAGTTCAGATGCGGAATATATACCCTAGATATACAATTTTACAGACATTCCAAAGATAATATTTTAATATCAATGTGTCCTAACGGCAAACATTATTCAACATACATGACATTGTTTTGTCAGATAGTCACAAACTTTATGCATACACGCAACTGTGGGTCCTGGGAGAGCAGAAGTCCTTGACATTGAAGCCGGCTCTCTCCATGTCCGTTCGGAGACTAGTCATGGTCATTAGGCTGACGGAGGGGGTTCGGGAGTACACCAGCGTTCCTTCGTATTTCCATGACCCTGTTGTCCCACAGTAGTAGATGACGGCGTAGCCAGCGTCCTTGTTGTAAACCATTATCCGCCATTGCTCATCACGGATCAGACCGTTCTCTAATCCAGAAAAGGTCACGATTCCGCCATGTTGGATGTCCTTGACCTCGCCACTCATGTTGGCAACTCGTACCCGGAGTGATTGGTTGAGTGTTGGCGCCAAATACTTCTCCGTCATTGTAAAGTTGTTGGTGTCGGGGACAGCAGCGTATGCCGTCATCTGGCAGGCGAAGCAGTCGTAGTTCCGGTTCAGGCCTAGGATGACGTACCAGTCGCCAGCAAACATGGACAGAGTGAAATTGTTGAGGGGTTTTTCTGTGGGCGGCGAGCACACTACTGGCGGGGTCGGTGCTGGGAGGGTGATGCAGTGATGTTGGGTGATGACGCAGTACAGGAAGCTGTCGAGGAGGTCGTTCTCGTAGGTAGCGAGACAGGGCAGAGCGCAAGACTGGTTGCTGCCGCACCCGCCCAGACAGGAGACAGCTGTCCTACAGTCGTGATCGCTGAAACATTTCGTCATCTGGCTGAAACAACGCAGCGTCATGCACGCCACGTTCTGCCCGGTAACCCCTTGGCAGGACATCAACATCAACAGCAGCAGCAGCAGCAGCATCGGGGGAGTCGTCGGAGACATGGCGGTAGTAGATCCAATACTAAGCAGTTCATGAAATGATGACCTAGAGTTGTTGAGGGTTGACAATCTTCAGGCTATCAGTACACTGGCGTGTGATGTTTCTCATAGTGTAAGGTTATCTAAATATTATCTAACCTGGAATCCAACAGTTTCTCAAACAATGTCACACGGTGTTTGCAAATAAAAATAAGCTGCATGTGTTTTGTTCACAGAAAGACTGGGTCTGAAGCCGAAATGACAGCTCGTCAGCGCATAGACTTACATTTAGTCTATGAAATCTTATATTAAATAAATGTTTCTACAAATTTGTGAATTTCCCGCCACAAATCACAGGATCTTGATCACACTTTTGACAAATATAAATCGGGAATGGTCCTGTCAAGGACGGCAGCAAAAATCCTGAATTTGTGACAGCCCTTACAACAAGCATGGGTTGCTGGACACCATATCTGACCCGACTCCCCACGTGGAGATGCTTGTAAGATCTCTGCAGATGCTGTGAGCCTAGATGGTATAGTGAGGTCCCGTGATGGTATAGTGAGGACATGTGATGGTATAGTGAGGACATGTGATAGTATAGTGAGGACATGTGATGGTAAAGTGAGGACATGTGAGGGTATAGTGAGGACATGTGATGGTATAGTGAGGACATGTGATGGTATAGTGAGGACATGTGATAGTATAGTGAGGACATGTGATGGTAAAGTGAGGACATGTGAGGGTATAGTGAGGATCCGTGGTGGTATAGTGAGGACATGTGATGGTATAGTGAGGACATGTTAGGGTATAGTGAGGACATGTGATGGTAAAGTGAGGACATGTGATGGTAGTGAGGACATGTGAGGGTATAGTGAGGACCCGTGGTGGTATGATGAGGACAGGTGATGGTATAGTGAGGACATGTGAGGGTATAGTGAGGACATGTGATGGTAGTGAGGACATGTGATGGTATAGTGAGGACCCGTGGTGGTATGATGACAGGTGATGGTATAGTGAGGACATGTGAGGGTATAGTGAGGACATGTGAGGGTATAGTGAGGACATGTGATGCTATAGTGAGGACATGTAAGGGTATAGTGAGGACACGTGATGCTATAGTGAGGACATGTGAGGATATAGTGAGGACCCGTGGTGGTATGATGAGGACATGTGATTGTATAGTGAGGACATGTGAGGGTATAGTGAGGACATGTGATGCTATAGTGAGGACTTGTGAGGATATAGTGAGGGTGGTGGTATGATGAGGACATGTGATGGTATAGTGAGGACATGTGATGGTATAGTGAGGACATGAGATGGTATAGTGAGGACATGTGATAGTATAATGAGGACATGTGATGGTATAGTGAGGACATGTGAGGGTATAGTGAGGACATGTGATGGTATAGTGAGGACATGTGAGGGTATAGTGAGGACATGTGATGGTATAGTGAGGACATGTGATATTATAGTGAGGACATGTGATAGCATAGTGAGGACCCGTGATGGTATAGTGAGGACATGTACGGGTATAGTGAGGACCCGTGATGGTATAGTGAGGACATGTGAGGGTATAGTGAGGACATGTGATGGTATAGTGAGGACATGTGAGGGTATAGTGATGACATGTGATGGTATAGTGAGGACATGTGATAGTATAATGAGGACATGTGAGGGTATAGTGAGGACATGTGATGGTATAGTGAGGACATGTGAGGGTATAGTGAGGACATGTGATGGTATAGTGAGGACATGTGAGGGTATAGTGATGACATGTGATTGTATAGTGAGGACATGTGATAGTATAATGAGGACATGTGAGGGTATAGTGAGGACCCGTGATGGTATAGTGAGGACATGTGAGGGTATAGTGAGGACATGTGATGGTATAGTGAGGACATGTGAGGGTATATTGATGACATGTGAGGGTATAGTGAGGACATGTGATAGTATAATGAGGACATGTGAGGGTATAGTGAGGACATGTGAGGGTATAGTGAGGACATGTGAGGGTATAGTGATGACATGTGAGGATATAGTGAGGACATGTGAGGGTATAGTGAGGACACGTGAGGGTATAGTGAGGACATGTGAGGGTATAGTGATGACATGTGATTGTATAGTGAGGACATGTGATAGTATAATGAGGACATGTGAGGGTATAGTGAGGACATGTGATGGTATAGTGAGGACATACGTGGGTACTGATCGTTAAGGAAAACTTGTTAAATGGTGTACGTAAAGAATTTATATACTATTTGCTGATGATATTTACAATTAAGAGTCCTCAAGACATTGGCATTTGAATAAGGTTCGGATTGACATCTATGAAGAAAGCTTTGGTTCCCCTGACATTAGGTGACGTGTGCATATGTACCGTTCCGTGCATCGTATCGCAACACAGTGTGTAATAACTAGGAATGTGTATAACACCTCGGCCATATTGGAACATCCGGACGAGTTCCGTAACCGTCAGGAATAAGCTGGAAGGATACCACTCACCAGGGCAGAGTGTGTTACTGTGACCCTCCAACAGTGAGTGAGTGGGTATTGGCAGAGACCATATAATAGAGGGGTCTCTGGTATTGGTTTGTTTTTTGTTTAACGCCGCACTCAGCTATATTCCAGCTATATGACGGCGGTCTGTAAATAATCGAGTCTGAACCAGACAATCCAGTGATTGTCATCATGAGCATCAATCCTCGCAATTGGGATACAATGACATGCATCAACCAAGTCAGCGAGTGAGTGAGTGAGTGAGTCAATGTCACTCTGTCAGTTAGCTTAAATGCCACTTTGGACTGTATTCCAGTTATATCGCGGCGTGTCAGCTTATTTGGGAGGAAAGCCCGAAGTGATGCAGGTCTCATACGTTTACCACTTTGGTGAAACCCACGAGCACGGGTATGGTGCTGACAAATCTAGAAACATTATCGGGGCGAACCGGGATTCGAACCCACGATGATAGGCACAGCGAATTGCGGCGCCTTCGACGACTGGGCCACCCATGCCTCTTGCAGCCCAAACATGTCGTGCTGACGTGCGTAATTCAGAAAACAGACAAGCATGTCTGCATAATGAGGCTCGAATCATCGTCTCTGTGCAAATCAAATCATGAAACTGTATCTCCACTTGTATCACAGATATACGTGTTTAGTCAAAAGGTGTTCATTACATTGCCGACATACGTGTTTAGTTATAACGTGTTCATTACACTGCCGACATACATGTTTAGTTATAACGTGTTCATTACACTGCCGACATACGTGTTTAGTTATACCGTGTTCATTACATTGCCGACATACGTGTTTAGTTATAACGTGTTCATTACATTGCCGACATACGTGTTTAGTTATAACGTGTTCATTACATTGCCGACATACGTGTTTAGTTATAACGTGTTCATTACATTGCCGACATACGTGTTTAGTTATAACGTGTTCATTACATTGCCGACATACGTGTTTAGTTATAACGTGTTCATTACATTGCCGACATACGTGTTTAGTTATAACGTGTTCATTACATTGCCGACATACGTGTTTAGTTATAACGTGTTCATTACATTGCCGACATACGTGTTTAGTTATAACGTGTTCATTACATTGCCGACATACGTGTTTAGTTATAACGTGTTCATTACATTACCGACATACGTGTTTAGTTATAACGTGTTCATTACATTGCCGACATACGTGTTTAGTTATAACGTGTTCATTACATTGCCGACATACGTGTTTAGTTATAACGTGTTCATTACATTGCCGACATACGTGTTTAGTTATAACGTGTTCATTACATTGCCGACATACGTGTTTAGTTATAACGTGTTCATTACATTGCCGACATACGTGTTTATAGTTATAACGTGTCCATTACATTGCCGACATACGTGTTTAGTTATAACGTGTTCATTACATTGCCGACATACGTGTTTAGTTATAACGTGTTCATTACATTGCCGACATACGTGTTTATTTATAACGTGTTCATTACATTGCCGACATACGTGTTTAGTTATGACGTGTTCATTACATTGCCGACATACGTGTTTAGTTATAACGTGTCCATTACATTACCGACATACGTGTTTAGTTATAACGTGTCCATTACATTGCCGACATACGTGTTTAGTTATAACGTGTCCATTACATTGCCGACATACGTGTTTAGTTATAACGTGTTCATTACATTGCCGACATATGTGTTTAGTTATAACGTGTTCATTACATTGCCGACATACGTGTTTAGTTATAACGTGTTCATTACACTGCCGACATACGTGTTTAGTTATACCATGTTCATTACATTGCCGACATACGTGTTTAGTTATAACGTGTTCATTACACTGCCGACATACGTGTTTAGTTATAACGTGTTCATTACATTGCCGACATACGTGTTTAGTTATAACGTGTCCATTACATTACCGACATACGTGTTTAGTTATAACGTGTCCATTACATTGCCGACATACGTGTTTAGTTATAACGTGTCCATTACATTGCCGACATACGTGTTTAGTTATAACGTGTTCATTACATTGCCGACATATGTGTTTAGTTATAACGTGTTCATTACATTGCCGACATACGTGTTTAGTTATAACGTGTTCATTACACTGCCGACATACGTGTTTAGTTATACCATGTTCATTACATTGCCGACATACGTGTTTAGTTATAACGTGTTCATTACACTGCCGACATACGTGTTTAGTTATAACGTGTTCATTACATTGCCGACATACGTGTTTAGTTATAACGTGTTCATTACACTGCCGACATACGTGTTTAGTTATAACGTGTTCATTACATTGCCGACATACGTGTTTAGTTATAACGTGTTCATTACACTGCCGACATACGTGTTTAGTTATAACGTGTTCATTACATTGCCGACATACGTGTTTAGTTATAACGTGTTCATTAAATTGCCGACATACGTGTTTAGTTATAACGTGTTCATTACATTGCCGACATACGTGTTTAGTTATAACGTGTTCATTACATTGCCGACATACGTGTTTAGTTATAACGTGTTCATTACATTGCCGACATACGTGTTTAGTTATAACGTGTTCATTACATTGCCGACATACGTGTTTAGTTATAACGTGTTCATTACATTGCCGACATACGTGTTTAGTTATAACGTGTTCATTACATTGCCGACATACGTGTTTAGTTATAACGTGTTCATTACATTGCCGACATACGTGTTTAGTTATAACGTGTCCATTACATTGCCGACATACGTGTTTAGTTATAACGTGTTCATTACACTGCCGACATACGTGTTTAGTTATAACGTGTTCATTACATTGCCGACATACGTGTTTAGTTATAACGTGTTCATTACATTGCCGACATACGTGTTTAGTTATAACGTGTTTATTACATTGCCGACATACGTGTTTAGTTATAACGTGTTTATTACATTGCCGACATACATGTTTAGTTATACCATGTTCATTACATTGCCGACATACGTGTTTAGTCAAAAGGTGTTCGTTGCATTGCAGATTTACGTGTTTATTCATTAAGGTGTTCGTTACATCGCAGACATGCATACGTGTCAAAAGGTGTTCGTTGCCTCGCAGATATACATGTTTAGTCTAGGTGTTCATTGCCTCGCAGATATACGTGTTTAGTTATAAGTTGTTCAATGGCATTGCATCGCAGACATACGTGTTTAGTCATAATTAAAATGTGTTCATTGGTGTTCACCCGATCCAGGTAATATGATCTATTACTTCTACATCTTTGTTAGCAACTGTGAAGTGCTAGTAGCCTAAAGGCGGCTGGGGTATAGGCCCCGAGCAACCTATATGTTTTATTGTAAGAGTGTGGGTGTGGGTTCGAATCCTGGATGGGTACTGGAATCTGTACTTTCGAAAGAAAGTGTTATCTCAAATTATAACATTTGTTACGCCGTGATATAGCTGGAATATTGCTGAGTGGGGCTTTAAACAACAAATAAACAAACCCAACTCAACATGCCTTGATTTCTGCCATTTCTCATTCCAACTTTTTCTATGAACCCAAGATGGCAGCCCCCATGAAAGCGGCATGATATGCAGGTTCAACATGATCGTACACAGTCACCATCCGTTAGCATAGCGACTTTCAGAATATGTTATGGAGAACATGATATGTAGCTGCTTGTTAAGTTTTAAACATGTTGCACAACATCAGGATGGTGGTGTTCTCTTCCTCGAGTTTGGCTGCAAGGGGGGCCCTGTTTGGGTTGCGGGGTCATGTCCCTCGGTCCGTCGTGCGGTGCTACCAAGCCGTGGACCACGATGACATGTCCAAGATCAGGAACATCGGAATCATGGCTCACATTGACGCGGGCAAAACAACTACAACGGAGAGGATGCTGTTCTATTCCGGATATTCGTCACACATAGGTAAAGTTGCATGTTGACGAATTATTCTTCAATCAGTCTTGAAAACTTGTTAGTATTGACTGTTGCATTGATGTGTCATTCAAAATGAATTTGTGACTGATATTTCCACAGAGTGTCACGCTTGTCATAACAAATCACTCAGTAAACAGAGTAGTTTGTTAACTGATATTTGATGAGCCTCAATTAAGTTTTAATCATGTCATTTGTTTCGTCTATACTTGTGGAACTGTTTAGGAAATGTGGACAGTGGAGACACCGTCATGGACTACATGGATCAGGAACGTGACCGCGGCATCACCATCACCTCTGCTGCCATCACGTTCCCCTGGCAACATCACCGCATCAACCTCATCGACACACCAGGTGGGTACCGGGCAGGATAGAACCAGTCTGACCGGTCAAGTATTTTTAAAGGGGCACTTATCTTGGGCTTCTTTGTGGCTATCTAACACTGCCCGCTAGGGCTCACTAGCTGACGTGAGTTGATTTGCTCGCTAACGCAACTGAGCGTGACGAGACTGGCCTACTGTTGTTAAGGATGGCGTAAATAAACATTGAGACACTATCTATCCTCATTTCTGAGACTTATTAGTTAGCCCTGATCTGTGAAGATTGCAATATTACAAAGGGCCCATGTTAATTAATTTCTTCAACCTAAAAACATGAAAAAAACAGTGGAAGCCCATCAGGTGTGGTTATTTGGAAAGATGGCGTGGATAATACGATTACTACTTCCTTGTGGTCATCCATGTTTCCTGGTATAACCCTACGCCTGTGTATTTGTTGTCTTTCACTCAATGCTCACTTAATGAATTTATGGGTCCAGGATGCAGCTTGTTGTTGTCTGGGGCAACAACGTTTCTATGTCAACATACACGTGGTCACTGGGTGGGGGTGTCGCATTACAGTCGATTTACAGTATGTCGGTGATGGTGTTGCAGGCCATGTGGACTTCACGGTGGAGGTGGAGAGGTCCCTGAGGGTGCTGGATGGAGCAGTTGCCATCTTGGATGCTTCAGCTGGTGAGTGTGCTGTTGTGGGAAGTAGTGCATGTGTGTTTGCATATGCATGCATGTGTGTGTCTGTGTGTGTGTGCATGTGTGTGTGCATGTGTGTGAATGTGTGTGTCTGTGTGCATGCATGAGTGTGTCTGTACATGTGTGTGTGCATGTGTGTGTCTGTGGGTGCATGTATGTGTGTTTGTGTGCATGCATGTGTGTCTGTACATGTGCAAGCTTGGGTCTGTGTGCATGCATGAGTGTGTCTGTACATGTGCGCATGCTTGTGTCTGTGTGCATGCATGTGTGTCTGTACGTGTGCATGCTTGTGTCTGTGTGCATGCATGTGTGTGTGCATGCATGTGTGTTTGTGTGCATGCATGTGTGTCTGTACGTGTGCATGCTTGTGTATGTGTGCATGCATGTGTGTCTGTACGTGTGTGTGTGCATGTGGGTGCATGTGTGTGTGCATGCGTGTGTGTTTGTGTGCATGCATGTGTGTCTGTACGTGTGCATGCTTGTGTCTGTGTGCATGCATGAGAGTGTCTGTATGTGTGCATGCTTGTGTCTGTGTGCATGCGTGTCTGTACGTGTGCATGCTTGTGTCTGTGTGCATGCATGAGTGTGTCTGTACGTGTGCATGCTTGTGTCTGTGTGCATGCATGTGTATGTGTGTGTGTGCAAGTGTGTGTCTGAGGGCGCATGTGTGTCTGTGTGAATGCAGAAGTGTGTCTGTACGTGTGCATGCTTGTGTCTGTGTGCATACATGTGTGTCTGTACGTGTGTGTGTGCATGTGTGTGCATGCATGTGTGTTTGTGTGCATGCATGCATGTGTGTTTCTATGTGTGTGCACATGTGTTTGTTTGTGTGCATGCATGTGTGTGTCTGTTTGTGTGCTTGCATGTGTGTCTGTTTGTGTGCATGCATGTTTGTGTCTGTGTGTCTACATGTGCATGCATGTGTTTGTCTGCGTGTGTGTGTGCATGCATGTGTGGTTCTGCGCATGAAGATACATGTGTGTGTGTGTCTGTGAAGTCACATGAGATGGAGCACTTGCCATCTTGGATGTTTCAGCTGTTGAGTGTGCTGTTGTTGGAAGTATAGCATGTGTGTTTGCATGTGCATGCATGTGTGTGTCTGTGTGTGTGTGCATATGTGTGTCTGTGCATGCATGTGTGTGTCTAGGTGTGTTTGTGCACATGTGTTTGCTCGTGTGCATGCATGTGTGTGTCTGTTTGTGTGCTTGCATGTGTGTGTCTGTGTGTCTACATGTGCATGCATGTGTTTGTCTGCGTGTGTGGGTGTGCATGCATGTGTGTGTCTGTGCATGAACATACATGTGTGTGTGTGTCTGTGTGTGAACATGTATGTGTGTGTACAAACAAGAGAAACAAGTGAAGTCACATGAGTCAGTTCCCAGTTGATGTTTCTGCATGTAGCCACCTGTTATCTCCTCTTGACAGGAGTGGAGGCCCAGACCGTGACCGTGTGGAGACAAGCGGACCGCTACCACCTCCCGAGGATGGTGTACCTGAACAAGATGGACAAGCGTGGTGCCGACCTACACCTGTGTCTCAACTCACTCACTCACAAACTGAAGGTGCAGCCCATGGTGCTGCAGTTGCCGCTGGGGGCGGAGCGAGGCTTCCATGGGGTCATTGACCTGGTCAGTATGGAGAGGCAGGTTTGGGACACTAGCACATGTCCCGATGGTGCTGTGTATGAACAAAGCCCACTCCCTGAGTCAGATCCCCTGTACGAAACTGCTCTGAATGAGAGAAACAATTTGATTGGTCAGCTTGCTGATTTTGATGACAGGCTGGCAGAACTTGTTCTGTCTGATGACATAACGAACATTCCCCAGTCTGTGCTGCATAATGCCATCAAACTTTGCACGGTGAAGCAGCATTTGGTTCCGGTGCTGTGTGGAGCCTCCTTCAAGAACAAGGGAGTGCAGCCTCTCCTGGATGCCATCATCCGCTACCTGCCCAGTCCCATGGAGGTCAGCTATGGGTTTGCTGAGCACTATGGAAGTGACCTCTGTGCTCTCGCTTTTAAGGTCATTCATGAGAAACAGCGAGGTCCCCTGACGTTTCTTCGAATGTATTCAGGGATGATGAAGAGTGGGGAGTCTGTGTACAACATCAACCGTGGTGTGACGGAGAAGACGAGCCGACTGCTGCAAGTGTATGCCAACGACTTCCATGACATGTCCACAGCATCGGCTGGCAACATCGTCCTGGTGGCAGGACTCAAGCAGGTGCCCCTCTTTACTTGACTTGTCTGTTGTCGGTGACCCCACTATGAAGGTGACACTGGTACATGTATGTGTTGTTCTGATGATGAATGAGCAGATCAGTAGGTCCACACTTAACTGTAGTTTTGTAGTGATAGATGACCGAGGAAGTGGTCACCTGGAAGACTTCATGTAATTATTGTAAAGCTTTGTGAGCATGTTCAGGGACAGGGAATATTAAATCAAGTTGCGCGTTTCGTTCCCCACAGACGTACACCGGAGACACCATCACCAACACACAGAAGACGGCCAACGCTGCAGCACGGACATACAGGGCACACAGACACAAGGCGGGGCTGACTGATGCATCCAACAGCAATAGTGAAGGGGACGACCACCTGGATGGGGACAGTGGGCTGCCTGTGCTGGCAGGGCTCGATATTCCTGATCCTGTCTTCTTCTGCTCCATCGAACCCCCAACAATGGCAGCTCAGAGACAGCTGGACATGGCCTTGGATTGCCTTCAGAAAGAGGACCCAAGTTTGAAGGTATAGGGTTACCATGGTGACAGAGGGGGTAAGGGAGGACCTACCTGTGTGTTGTATACATGACCTGTGTATTATACATGCCCTGTGTGTTCTATACATGACCTCTCTTTTGTTTACATGACCTGTGTGTTGTATACATGCCCTGTGTTCTATACATGATCTGTGTTGTATACATGACCTCTGTGTTGTATACATGACCTCTGTGTTGTATACATGGCATGTTAATGTGAATTCTATACATGACCTGTGTTCTATACATGACCTCTGTGTTGTATACATGACCTCTGTGTTGTATACATGACCTCTGTGTTGTATACATGGCATGTTAATGTGAATTCTATACATGACCTGTGTTCTATACATGACCTCTGTGTTGTATACATGACCTCTGTGTTGTATACATGGCATGTTAATCTGAATTCTATACATGACCTGTGTTCTATACATGACCTCTGTGTTGTATACATGACCTCTGTGTTGTATACATGGCATGTTAATGTGAATTCTATACATGACCTGTGTTCTATACATGACCTCTGTGTTGTATACATGACCTCTGTGTTGTATACATGGCATGTTAATGTGAATTCTATACACGACCTGTGTTCTATACATGACCTGTGTGTTGTATACATGGCCTGTGTTGTAAACATGGCCTGTGTGTTGCAGGTTGAGTTAAATCAGGAAACAGGGCAGACTATTCTGTTGGGGATGGGGGAACTTCATCTTGACATCATCCGGTCCCGCATCCTCAAGGAGTACCGCGTTGAGGCCGAGATTGGACCCCTCCAGGTCGCGTACAGGTCGGTGTCATCCATCTAGAGTTCCTGGTGTGAATGTAGCTTGTGTGCCATGTGATATAGTCATGCCTGATAAACTGCAGTATGAATATATGCTTTACGTTTTCAGTGTTTAAAACTATGTATGAAAGTCAATGGGTCTTGTAATAACGTTAAAATGTGTATAATAAAGATATTAGTTTGTGTTCCTCAGAGAGACATTATCAGTGGAGGCTGAGGTTGAGGACACCCTTGACAGAACTGTGGGGGAGCGACGCCACCAGGTGTTCATGAAACTGTCCGTGCACCCAGACATCGACACCCAGGACTTTAAACACGTGGAGCTGGTGTCGTTCAGGGACCATCACTTTCAGCCGAAGCGCCCCCAGTTGAAGGCTGTGGAGAGTGGCATCAGATCCTCACTACAGAACGGTAGGGTGTATGTTGGGTCTTTGCTCTCTGAATTAGCCACTCTACAAGTTGATGTGGGCCACCACAAATATTTGTATAGGTGACCTTTTGATAATGTTTAGGTTCATGATGGTAAGAGCACTCTTATCTAGCACTGGTATCTAGCCTTAACGTATTGTACTTACACCTAATGTTGCCTATTGATGTGTATTAAAGAAGTTATCAATTATTGTTTGGGAATAGTCTAGAATATAAGTTTTGTCAAGAGATTTAGATGTAGAACAAGTTGCTATAATATCTGATTGGTGACGCCTCCGTGGTCTAGTAGAGCGTCTGCCCCTGAGTGTGGAAAGTCGGTGGTGTGATCCCAGTCTGCATCATTAAGATGTTAAAAATGGTACTTGTTGTAACCCTGCCTGGCCCTCAGCATTAAGTGGATAAAACAAGGTCTTGTCGGCTAGGAGTCAGTATATAGTCCAGTCAAAATATGACAAAAAGGGGGTCAACCCAAAACAAATTGCAACAGAAACCATTTTACCTGCATATAACCTGCAATTGCTCACTTAACAACATATCAAAAGTTTACCTAAATCGGAGTAGTGGAACAGTGCCTAATTTGCATATGTTCAAAATGGCCACCATTCAAACTAATTTTGCTGGGTTTTGGCTATATCTCGGGACCTAGGATAGGTAGAGATTTAATTCTGGTGTCTGTCTACACCCATATTTTGGGGGTTAAAGAATTTGATCATAACAGTATTTACATTATTGACTCATTTCTTAGTGTCTAATTTGCATAAATTCAAAATGGCGGACATTTTGAAACCATTTTTTGACGATATCTCGGGATCTGAGCCTGGTAGAGACCTAATTCTGGTGTCTGTACCAATGTTATTTGGTCAAGGAATGTAATTATAACAGTATTTACATTATTGAATCATTTCTTCATGCCAAAGTGAGATCAATGGTCTGATGGTCTGCAGTCACTATGACATGGAAAGTTACAAGATCATCTTGCTGAGGATGCATGTGGAAATGTTGATCTCATGTGGAGCATAGCTTTGCCTCTCCGATCACCTCGCCCCCTCTGGTCAGGGGTGATGCAGTTGGTGCATAAGGGTGAGCTTCCAGGGAAATCATCCATACAATTTCTGCCGATGATTGACATGGAACCAACTGTCATGACCTGTTTGTACTCTTTGTTACTTCACATGCCAGGCAGTACAATGTCACACCAATTCTAACATTTGAAAGCTCTGATAATTCAAGAAAGTGTCCCCAAGAACAGCGAGATAAAGGACATTGTACTTAGAATGGGTGGCTTTCACACAGAAATGAGCTTTGTGAGTGCAATAGGACATCTTATGGTAGACTCAGGTCTGAAAGAATTGCTAGAGGGCATATATGCAAGCAACACAGTCGTGCACATATTAAGTGGTAAAGCGATTTCTAGGGCTGTACGTGCACACCTACTTGTAGTTGGAGCCCTTCATGCTATGCTAGTATCTCATGCATTAAGCATTCCATCTGTGTGTTACAACAGCCCAGAAAGGCTCTGAAAACACAGATACATCTGCAGCAGAAGCACCGGGTGAAAGTCTCCTGGAATCTGTGCAAGTTACCACAGAGGCATCCAATGTGTCAATGCCAGATGGTATTGTTCATCAGGACAGTGATCAAGGAGATGGCACAGCAGATCAAGAATCAGAAGAAGGTAGTAGTGAGGCGCAGAACGTGCTGCAAATGCCGGTAGATGATTCTACAGGGTTTGATGAACAAGAAGGAAATACCTCGGATTCTTCACGTGAAACTGAAGATGTTGCAGGTGAAAATGCAACTTATGCACCAATGCCATATATCCCGATAACTGCTGGTAAACTCTATGATGACCTGATGGCTGGGCCTATTACCATCGAGAGTTTACAGGATTTTCAGGTGCTGCAAGACTTTAATCAACAACTTAAAGCAGCACTGCTATTATGTGGCTGCAGTATATAGACATGGTAGGCATCCTACAACAGTTCATCAAAGCTGAATGGACTGGTAATTGGAACATACATCTGAAGTCAATGAAAGATATGTTAACATATCTGGCAGCAGCTCCCCACCCAAACTACACTAAATCTGTTCCCATCTACTTGAGCAAGATGGAAAACCTTTAGAAACAGCATAAAAAAGTTTACCAGCACTTGCAAAATGGCTTCCATGTAGGTAGAAGGTCAGATAGATACTGGGCTGGGCTCTCTGAAGATTTACTTATTGAACAGGTACTGATGAGAAGTACTACTGGTGGCCTTACAAGAGGTCGTGGTATGACCGAGACACAGCGTTTAGTGTGGCTGTTATCATCTAATGCCAGTTCTGAGGTCAACTTGGCAATGCAGGAGTTCACATCGGTAAAGTACATGACCAGTGAGCAGCATGATGAGGGCCAGAGCATAAAGAGAAGAAGGACCAACACAAGGATATGTCCGAGGCAAGACAGTAGAAGGATATGTCCGAGGCAAGACAGAAGAAGGATATGTCCGAGGCAAGACAGAAGAAGGACATGGCAGACACAGAGGGCTCCTGAACTTCTTAACACCAAGAAACCCCTTTGATGAGAATCCAACTCTGCACAGTATTGTGACTGGTGTAACAGCTGATGACACTGTCGATGTGAACTCTGCACAGTATTGTGACTGGTGTAACAGCTGATGACACTGTTGATGTGAACTCTGCAAGAGAAGATCTTGCATGATATGGTTGGAAAACATGTTGCAGAATATACATTCAGAAGGAAGGATCAAGCTGTCACCTTGTCTGATAGCAGTGCAGTAAAAACAAAAGAGGGAATGGTTCAAATAGATCCCCAGCTGCTCTTTCAGAGACTTATAACATTTGGAACACGTCACAACAGCCTATCAGAAGCATTCCAATGTGAGTTATGTAGTTATGCGCCGGCGCTCTTCCAGAATAAGTGAACTCCACGCCTAGCAAAAAAGGTTCAACTTGCTAATGCAATTTGGAGTCTGATGCCTCCAGGAATGTCCATACCGCCTGGAGATGTGCAGTATGTCCAAGATGGAGGAGCTTTGCTTCACAGAATAAAATGGAGCCGAGGGTCAAAATATGATGAAATATGTGAGCAGTATGTCAGGTATGTGAATAGACACTATGGTAAGCCAGTCGTGGTATTTGATGGTTATCTCAGCGGTCCAAGCAACAAGGATACAACGCAACAGGGAAGAGCAGGACCACGTGTTGGAGCCCCTGTACAAGTCTCAGGGTCCATGGTCTTCAATGGAAAGAAGCAGGACTTTCTTTCCAACAAGGATAATAAGCTGAAGTTCATCATCTTGTTTGATGAACATCTATGACATCATGGATGTCGCACAGACCATGCTGGGGCAGATGCTGATCTACTAACTGTGCAGACTGCCATTGACACTGCTGAGAGAACAAGAAAGCCAATGGTTGTCGTTGCAGATGACAAAGATATCTTTGTTCTGCTCTGCTTCAACACTGAGCTCCCCCACAAAAAAATTGTACCTTAGACCCGAACCTCGCTATGGTGCAAAGAAGCAGCCAAGATGTTGGAACATAGCTGTTCTCAAAGCACTTTCACGGTGTTGGAAAGGGAGTTGCACTAAACCTGGTTCGCACTAACAAGCTGAGAGATTTGGAAATCCAAACAACACCACGGCAGATATTATAGTTGCAGGAGAGAAAGCACTAGTTACCTTGTACAAAGGCAAGCCTGATGATAAATTGGATTTTCTTTGCCTCCAGCAATTCCAGCAGAAAGTCAGCAGTTGTGCAACATGTGTGAAACCAGAAGTCCTTCCTCAGCAGCAGCTAATTGTCACACTATGCGGGTCTACTTGCAAGTACAGCAGTGGGGGAATTTCAAAATGGTCGGCATTTTTAATTTCTGCAAATTAGGCACTAAGACATTACCAAACTATTAAAATACTGTTATAATTGAATTCTTTGACTCCCAAAACATGGGTGTATACACCAGAATTAAATCTCTACTAGTCTTAGATCCCGAGATATAGGCAAACCCTAGCACAATTAGTTTGAATGGTGGCCATTTTGAATTTATTCAAATTAGGCACTGTTCCACTGCTCCAATCTTGGTAAACTTTTGATATGATGTTTTATGAGTTAATCCAAGTTATATGCAGGTAAAATGGTTGCAATTTGTTTTGGGTCAAATCCTATTTTGACTGGGCTAATACTGTGTCAGGGTAGGTTATCCTTGCTGGGCCAGTAAACTAGCAGCCACACACACTATACAGGGGCAGTGATCTTGAAGGACAAACCCCATTTCACCTCGCCTATCTGATTGGCACCTAATAATGAACTTTAGGATTTAAGTTATTCAGTTTAAGCATTCACATCAGTTATATTCAAAACTCTAAATTTTCATTTGTAAACTCAAAGGGCAACAGCTGCAGATGAAGGGATGTTTGAGTGATGTCCCCGTCCCCCCCTGTAATTATAAAATACATCTCTGTTGTGATGACACACGGACCCCTGAAGACCTGTGTTAGAATGGGTCTTAAGCAATCCATGCTTGCCATAATAGGCTTGTCGTAAGAGGCGACTAACAGGATCAGGTGGTCAGACTCACTGACTTGGTTGCTGCATGTCGTATCCCAAATGCGTAGAATGAGGCTCATGATGTCAATCACCAGATTGTCTGGTCCAGACTTCATTATTTAGACCGCTGTCATATAGCTGGAATATGGTTGAGTGTGGCTTTAAGCAACAAACAAACAAACAAAATGTGATGCCACACATCGGGGTGTACGGAATGTACTGCAGCAGTCTGTCCCGGCAGGTCCTGTACTCAACTGTCCTGTGATCCACGTCCGGGTCCGGCTCCACAGCCTCCAGGTCCGCCCGGGCACGTCCCTGGCAATGGTGTCGGCCTGTGCAGCACAGTGTGTGAGCAAGGCCCTCCGGGATGCAGATGCAGCACTCCTGGAGCCCATGATGAAGTTACAGGTGAGTCTGACGAGGCATTGGTGAAACTCGTGGTATGAGTGATGGAGTTGTATGAGAGATGGAGTTGTTTGAGAGATGGAGTTGTATGAGAGATGGAGTGGTATGAGAGATGGAGTTGTATGAGTGATTGAGTGGTATGAGAGATGGAGTTGTATGAGTGATTGAGTTGTATGAGAGATGGAGTTGTTTGAGAGATGGAGTTGTATGAGTGATTGAGTGGTATGAGAGATGGAGTTGTTTGAGAGATGGAGTTGTATGAGAGATGGAGTGGTATGAGAGATGGAGTTGTATGAGTGATTGAGTGGTATGAGAGATGGAGTTGTATGAGTGATTGAGTTGTATGAGAGATGGAGTGGTATGAGAGATGGAGTTGTATGAGTGATTGAGTGGTATGAGAGATGGAGTTGTTTGAGAGATGGAGTGGTATGACTGATGGAGTGGTATGAGAGATGGAGTTGTATGAGTGATTGAGTGGTATGAGAGATGGAGTTGTATGAGAGATGGAGTGGTATGACTGATGGAGTGGTATGACTGATGGAGTGGTATGAGAGATGGAGTTGTATGAGTGATTGAGTGGTATGAGAGATGGAGTTGTATGAGAGATGGAGTGGTATGACTGATGGAGTGGTATGAGTGACGGAGTGGTATGAGTGACGGAGTGGAGTGGTACGAGTGATGGAGAGGTATGAGTGATGGAGAGGTATGAGTGATGGCGTGGTATGAGAGATGGAGTGGTATGAGTGATGGAGTGGTATGAGTGATGGAGTGGTATGATTGATGGAGTGGAGTGGTATGAGTGATGGAGAGGTATGAGTGATGGCGTGGTATGAGAGATGGAGTGGTATGAGTGATGTCATGGTATGATTGATGGAGTCAGTGGAGTGGTATGAGTGATGGAGAGGTACATGTGATGGAGAGGTATGAGTGGTGTATGTGATGGTGTGGTGTATGTGATGGTGTGGTGTATGTGATGGAGTGGTATATGTGATGGAGTGGTGTATGTGACTGAGTGGTATTAGTGATGGAGTGGTATGTTTGACTGTTGCAGATCTCTATGGATGAGGATCACCTTCACTCTGTGTTGTCTGACCTGGCACAGCGCAGGAGCCACATCGAGAGCATCGCCCCCCGGGATGATGTGAGGGTGGTGGAGACAATGACACCGCTAGCTGAGCTGATGGGGTACTCCACAGACATAAGAACCATCACCTCTGGTACGGCCATGGTGTCCATGGAGTTTTCTCACTATGAACTGATGTCTGTGCAGCAGCAGAACAAGGCCATAGAGAAGGTGCTAGGTTTTGTGCCAAATAGATGACCTGGTCTGATGCAGGGGCGTTGTGAAGGATGTCAGTTATGTTGTTAAAAATTGTTGGTTTGATAAGTGTGGATGTGTGAATATTGAATCCTCTTAATGTTAGGGTTACATGTCACAGGATTGTAGAGATAGTGCAGTAGTGGCTGGTCTGAGTCTGTTCTGAGTCTGGTCCTGGTTCTACATTCAGGTCTGGGGCCAGTCCAGCAGAGCTGTGTGATATTGCCGAGCCATTTACATTTGTACATCAAACTATCAAACTAGGAATATTCTAGATTGCAATAAACTGGTACATATTTTTCCCTTTGTTTCTTGTTTCCTCAGATGTGTTCTCATTCTGGCCTGATGTTTTTTCTGGTAGGAACTGGCAAACCAATAAGAACAGTCTTGTTTTGAGACTTTATTTATAAAAAGTTATCACAGTTCAAATGAGAGTCCAATATGGCCCTTTTAATTAGCATGGTGCCAAGACAATGGGCTCCGAAACAAGACATGTCCTTCTGTACATAGAGGAACAGGGTCAGACTTCAACCATCTCCTCCTCCTGTGGACTGTGAGGAACAGGGTCAGACTGACACAACAGATCTAGTTCCTCCACTGGGATCTGAACACGTAGCTCCTTCTCTGTCATGAGGTCGACCATCTCCTGCAGCTGACTCTGGCCAAACAGACGCACCCCATCCTTGTACAGCACCTGCAACACATCAGTGGAGAGTGGGGTACTGGGGACCATTCTACCCCGTGACAGGCATGTGGTACTGGGGACCATTCTACCCTGTCACAGGCATGTGGAACTGGGGACCATTCTACCCTGTGACAGGCATGTGGTACTGGGGACCATTCTACCCCGTGACAGGCATGTGGTACTGGGGACCTAGTCTACCCTGTGACAGGCATGTGGTACTGGGGACCTACTCTACCCTGTGACAGGCATGTGGTACTGGGGACCATTCTACCCTGTGACAGGCATGTGGTACTGGGGACCATTCTACCCCGTGACAGGCATGTGGTACTGGGGACCATTCTACCCCGTGACAGGCATGTGGTACTGGGGACCATTCTACCCCGTGACAGGCATGTGGTACTGGGGACCATTCTACCCCGTGACAGGCATGTGGTACTGGGGACCATTCTACCCCGTGACAGGCATGTGGTACTGGGAACCATTCTACCCTGTGACAGGCATGTGGTACTGGGGACCATTCTACCCTGTCACAGGCATGTGGTACTGGGGACCATTCTACCCCGTGACAGGCATGTGGTACTGGGGACCATTCTACCCTGTGACAGGCATGTGGTACTGGGGACCTAGTCTACCTTGTGACAGGCATGTGGTACTGGGGACCTTGTCTACCCTGTCACAGGCATGTGGTACTGGGGACCATTCTACCCCGTGACAGGCATGTGGTACTGGGGACCATTCTACCCCGTGACAGGCATGTGGTACTGGGGACCATTCTACCCTGTGACAGGCATGTGGTACTGGGGACCTAGTCTACCCTGTGACAGGCATGTGGTACTGGGGACCATTCTACCCTGTGACAGGCATGTGGTACTGGGGACCTAGTCATGCGGTACTGGGGACCTAGTCTACCCTGTGACAGGCATGTGGTATTGGGGACCTACTCTACCCTGTGACAGGCATGTGGTACTGGGGACCTAGTCTACCCTGTGACAGGCATGTGGTACTGGGGACCTACTCTACCCGGTGACAGGCATGTGGTACTGGGGACCTAGTCTACCCCGTGACAGGCATGTGGTACTGGGGACCATTCTACCCTGTGAGAGGCATGTGGTACTGGGGACCTACTCTACCCTGTGACAGGCATGTGGTACTGGGGACCTACTCTACCCTGTGACAGGCATGTGGTACTGGGGACCATTCTACCCTGTGACAGGCATGTGGTACTGGGGACCATTCTACCCTGTGACAGGCATGTGGTACTGAGGACCTAGTCTACCCTGTGACAGGCATGTGGTACTGGGGACCTACTCTACCCTGTGACAGGCATGTGGTACTGGGGACCATTCTACCCCGTGATAGGCATGTGGTACTGGGGACCTAGTCTACCCTGTGACAGGCATGTGGTACTGGGGACCTAGTCTACCTTGTGACAGGCATGTGGTACTGGGGACCTACTCTACCCTGTGACAGGCATGTGGTACTGGGGACCATTCTACCCTGTGACAGGCATGTGGTACTGGGGACCTAGTCTACCCCGTGACAGGCATGTGGTACTGGGAACCTACTCTACCCTGTGACAGGCATGTGGTACTGGGGACCTAGTCTACCCTGTGACAGGCATGTGGTACTGGGGATCTAGTCTACCCTGTGACAGGCATGTGGTATTGGGGACCTACTCTACCCTGTGACAGGCATGTGGTACTGGGGACCTAGTCTACCCTGTGACAGACATGTGGTACTGGGGACCTACTCTACCCCGTGACAGGCATGTGGTACTGGGGACCATTCTACCCTGTGACAGGCATGTGGTATTGGGGACCTAGTCTACCCTGTGACAGGCATGTGGTACTGGGGACCTACTTTACCCTGTGACAGGCATGTGGTACTGGGTACCTAGTCTACCCTGTGACAGGCATGTGGTACTGGGGACCTAGTCTACCCTGTGACAGGCATGTGGTACTGGGGACCTACTCTACCCTGTGACAGGCATGTGGTACTGGGGACCTAGTCTACCTTGTGACAGGCATGTGGTACTGGGGACCTAGTCTACCCCGTGACAGGCATGTGGTACTGGGGACCTAGTCTACCCCGTGACAGGCATGTGGTACTGGGGACCTACTCTACCCTGTGACAGGCATGTGGTACTGGGTACCTAGTCTACCCTGTGACAGGCATGTGGTACTGGGGACCTAGTCTACCCTGTGACAGGCATGTGGTACTGGGGACCTAGTCTACCTTGTGACAGGCATGTGGTACTGGGGACCTAGTCTAACTTGTGACAGGCATGTGGTACTGGGGACCTACTCTACCCTGTGACAGGCATGTGGTACTGGGGACCTAGTCTACCTTGTGACAGGCATGTGGTACTGGGGACCTAGTCTACCCTGTGACAGGCATGTGGTACTGGGGACCTAGTCTACCCCGTGACAGGCATGTGGTACTGGGGACCTACTCTACCCTGTGACAGGCATGTGGTACTGGGGACCTAGTCTACCCTGTGACAGGCATGTGGTACTGGGGACCTAGTCTACCCTGTGACAGGCATGTGGTACTGGGGACCATTCTACCCTGTGACAGGCATGTGGTACTGGGGACCATTCTACCCCGTGACAGGCATGTGGTACTGGGGACCATTCTACCCCGTGACAGGCATGTGGTACTGGGGACCATTCTACCCCGTGACAGGCATGTGGTACTGGGAACCATTCTACCCTGTGACAGGCATGTGGTACTGGGGACCATTCTACCCTGTCACAGGCATGTGGTACTGGGGACCATTCTACCCCGTGACAGGCATGTGGTACTGGGGACCATTCTACCCTGTCACAGGCATGTGGAACTGGGGACCATTCTACCCTGTGACAGGCATGTGGAACTGGGGACCATTCTACCCTGTGACAGGCATGTGGTACTGGGGACCATTCTACCCTGTCACAGGCATGTGGAACTGGGGACCATTCTACCCTGTGACAGGCATGTGGTACTGGGGACCATTCTACCCCGTGACAGGCATGTGGTACTGGGGACCTAGTCTACCCTGTGACAGGCATGTGGTACTGGGGACCTACTCTACCCTGTGACAGGCATGTGGTACTGGGGACCTACTCTACCCTGTGACAGGCATGTGGTACTGGGGACCATTCTACCCTGTGACAGGCATGTGGTACTGGGGACCATTCTACCCTGTGACAGGCATGTGGTACTGAGGACCTAGTCTACCCTGTGACAGGCATGTGGTACTGGGGACCTACTCTACCCTGTGACAGGCATGTGGTACTGGGGACCATTCTACCCCGTGATAGGCATGTGGTACTGGGGACCTAGTCTACCCTGTGACAGGCATGTGGTACTGGGGACCTAGTCTACCTTGTGACAGGCATGTGGTACTGGGGACCTACTCTACCCTGTGACAGGCATGTGGTACTGGGGACCATTCTACCCTGTGACAGGCATGTGGTACTGGGGACCTAGTCTACCCCGTGACAGGCATGTGGTACTGGGAACCTACTCTACCCTGTGACAGGCATGTGGTACTGGGGACCTAGTCTACCCTGTGACAGGCATGTGGTACTGGGGACCTAGTCTACCCTGTGACAGGCATGTGGTATTGGGGACCTACTCTACCCTGTGACAGGCATGTGGTACTGGGGACCTAGTCTACCCTGTGACAGACATGTGGTACTGGGGACCTACTCTACCCCGTGACAGGCATGTGGTACTGGGGACCATTCTACCCTGTGACAGGCATGTGGTATTGGGGACCTAGTCTACCCTGTGACAGGCATGTGGTACTGGGGACCTACTTTACCCTGTGACAGGCATGTGGTACTGGGTACCTAGTCTACCCTGTGACAGGCATGTGGTACTGGGGACCTAGTCTACCCTGTGACAGGCATGTGGTACTGGGGACCTACTCTACCCTGTGACAGGCATGTGGTACTGGGGACCTAGTCTACCTTGTGACAGGCATGTGGTACTGGGGACCTAGTCTACCCCGTGACAGGCATGTGGTACTGGGGACCTAGTCTACCCCGTGACAGGCATGTGGTACTGGGGACCTACTCTACCCTGTGACAGGCATGTGGTACTGGGTACCTAGTCTACCCTGTGACAGGCATGTGGTACTGGGGACCTAGTCTACCCTGTGACAGGCATGTGGTACTGGGGACCTAGTCTACCTTGTGACAGGCATGTGGTACTGGGGACCTAGTCTAACTTGTGACAGGCATGTGGTACTGGGGACCTACTCTACCCTGTGACAGGCATGTGGTACTGGGGACCTAGTCTACCTTGTGACAGGCATGTGGTACTGGGGACCTAGTCTACCCTGTGACAGGCATGTGGTACTGGGGACCTAGTCTACCCCGTGACAGGCATGTGGTACTGGGGACCTACTCTACCCTGTGACAGGCATGTGGTACTGGGGACCTAGTCTACCCTGTGACAGGCATGTGGTACTGGGGACCTAGTCTACCCTGTGACAGGCATGTGGTACTGGGGACCATTCTACCCCGTGACAGGCATGTGGTACTGGGGACCATTCTACCCCGTGACAGGCATGTGGTACTGGGGACCATTCTACCCCGTGACAGGCATGTGGTACTGGGGACCATTCTACCCCGTGACAGGCATGTGGTACTGGGAACCATTCTACCCTGTGACAGGCATGTGGTACTGGGGACCATTCTACCCTGTCACAGGCATGTGGTACTGGGGACCATTCTACCCCGTGACAGGCATGTGGTACTGGGGACCATTCTACCCTGTGACAGGCATGTGGTACTGGGGACCTAGTCTACCTTGTGACAGGCATGTGGTACTGGGGACCTTGTCTACCCTGTCACAGGCATGTGGTACTGGGGACCATTCTACCCCGTGACAGGCATGTGGTACTGGGGACCATTCTACCCCGTGACAGGCATGTGGTACTGGGGACCATTCTACCCTGTGACAGGCATGTGGTACTGGGGACCTAGTCTACCCTGTGACAGGCATGTGGTACTGGGGACCATTCTACCCTGTGACAGGCATGTGGTACTGGGGACCTAGTCATGCGGTACTGGGGACCTAGTCTACCCTGTGACAGGCATGTGGTATTGGGGACCTACTCTACCCTGTGACAGGCATGTGGTACTGGGGACCTAGTCTACCCTGTGACAGGCATGTGGTACTGGGGACCTACTCTACCCGGTGACAGGCATGTGGTACTGGGGACCTAGTCTACCCCGTGACAGGCATGTGGTACTGGGGACCATTCTACCCTGTGAGAGGCATGTGGTACTGGGGACCTACTCTACCCTGTGACAGGCATGTGGTACTGGGGACCTACTCTACCCTGTGACAGGCATGTGGTACTGGGGACCATTCTACCCTGTGACAGGCATGTGGTACTGGGGACCATTCTACCCTGTGACAGGCATGTGGTACTGAGGACCTAGTCTACCCTGTGACAGGCATGTGGTACTGGGGACCTACTCTACCCTGTGACAGGCATGTGGTACTGGGGACCATTCTACCCCGTGATAGGCATGTGGTACTGGGGACCTAGTCTACCCTGTGACAGGCATGTGGTACTGGGGACCTAGTCTACCTTGTGACAGGCATGTGGTACTGGGGACCTACTCTACCCTGTGACAGGCATGTGGTACTGGGGACCATTCTACCCTGTGACAGGCATGTGGTACTGGGGACCTAGTCTACCCCGTGACAGGCATGTGGTACTGGGAACCTACTCTACCCTGTGACAGGCATGTGGTACTGGGGACCTAGTCTACCCTGTGACAGACATGTGGTACTGGGGACCTACTCTACCCCGTGACAGGCATGTGGTACTGGGGACCATTCTACCCTGTGACAGGCATGTGGTATTGGGGACCTAGTCTACCCTGTGACAGGCATGTGGTACTGGGGACCTACTTTACCCTGTGACAGGCATGTGGTACTGGGTACCTAGTCTACCCTGTGACAGGCATGTGGTACTGGGGACCTAGTCTACCCTGTGACAGGCATGTGGTACTGGGGACCTACTCTACCCTGTGACAGGCATGTGGTACTGGGGACCTAGTCTACCTTGTGACAGGCATGTGGTACTGGGGACCTAGTCTACCCCGTGACAGGCATGTGGTACTGGGGACCTAGTCTACCCCGTGACAGGCATGTGGTACTGGGGACCTACTCTACCCTGTGACAGGCATGTGGTACTGGGTACCTAGTCTACCCTGTGACAGGCATGTGGTACTGGGGACCTAGTCTACCCTGTGACAGGCATGTGGTACTGGGGACCTAGTCTACCTTGTGACAGGCATGTGGTACTGGGGACCTAGTCTAACTTGTGACAGGCATGTGGTACTGGGGACCTACTCTACCCTGTGACAGGCATGTGGTACTGGGGACCTAGTCTACCTTGTGACAGGCATGTGGTACTGGGGACCTAGTCTACCCTGTGACAGGCATGTGGTACTGGGGACCTAGTCTACCCCGTGACAGGCATGTGGTACTGGGGACCTACTCTACCCTGTGACAGGCATGTGGTACTGGGGACCTAGTCTACCCTGTGACAGGCATGTGGTACTGGGGACCTAGTCTACCCTGTGACAGGCATGTGGTACTGGGGACCATTCTACCCCGTGACAGGCATGTGGTACTGGGGACCATTCTACCCCGTGACAGGCATGTGGTACTGGGGACCATTCTACCCCGTGACAGGCATGTGGTACTGGGGACCATTCTACCCCGTGACAGGCATGTGGTACTGGGAACCATTCTACCCTGTGACAGGCATGTGGTACTGGGGACCATTCTACCCTGTCACAGGCATGTGGTACTGGGGACCATTCTACCCCGTGACAGGCATGTGGTACTGGGGACCATTCTACCCTGTGACAGGCATGTGGTACTGGGGACCTAGTCTACCTTGTGACAGGCATGTGGTACTGGGGACCTTGTCTACCCTGTCACAGGCATGTGGTACTGGGGACCATTCTACCCCGTGACAGGCATGTGGTACTGGGGACCATTCTACCCCGTGACAGGCATGTGGTACTGGGGACCATTCTACCCTGTGACAGGCATGTGGTACTGGGGACCTAGTCTACCCTGTGACAGGCATGTGGTACTGGGGACCATTCTACCCTGTGACAGGCATGTGGTACTGGGGACCTAGTCATGCGGTACTGGGGACCTAGTCTACCCTGTGACAGGCATGTGGTATTGGGGACCTACTCTACCCTGTGACAGGCATGTGGTACTGGGGACCTAGTCTACCCTGTGACAGGCATGTGGTACTGGGGACCTACTCTACCCGGTGACAGGCATGTGGTACTGGGGACCTAGTCTACCCCGTGACAGGCATGTGGTACTGGGGACCATTCTACCCTGTGAGAGGCATGTGGTACTGGGGACCTACTCTACCCTGTGACAGGCATGTGGTACTGGGGACCTACTCTACCCTGTGACAGGCATGTGGTACTGGGGACCATTCTACCCTGTGACAGGCATGTGGTACTGGGGACCATTCTACCCTGTGACAGGCATGTGGTACTGAGGACCTAGTCTACCCTGTGACAGGCATGTGGTACTGGGGACCTACTCTACCCTGTGACAGGCATGTGGTACTGGGGACCATTCTACCCCGTGATAGGCATGTGGTACTGGGGACCTAGTCTACCCTGTGACAGGCATGTGGTACTGGGGACCTAGTCTACCCCGTGACAGGCATGTGGTACTGGGAACCTACTCTACCCTGTGACAGGCATGTGGTACTGGGGACCTAGTCTACCCTGTGACAGGCATGTGGTACTGGGGACCTAGTCTACCCTGTGACAGGCATGTGGTATTGGGGACCTACTCTACCCTGTGACAGGCATGTGGTACTGGGGACCTAGTCTACCCTGTGACAGACATGTGGTACTGGGGACCTACTCTACCCCGTGACAGGCATGTGGTACTGGGGACCATTCTACCCTGTGACAGGCATGTGGTATTGGGGACCTAGTCTACCCTGTGACAGGCATGTGGTACTGGGGACCTACTTTACCCTGTGACAGGCATGTGGTACTGGGTACCTAGTCTACCCTGTGACAGGCATGTGGTACTGGGGACCTAGTCTACCCTGTGACAGGCATGTGGTACTGGGGACCTACTCTACCCTGTGACAGGCATGTGGTACTGGGGACCTAGTCTACCTTGTGACAGGCATGTGGTACTGGGGACCTAGTCTACCCCGTGACAGGCATGTGGTACTGGGGACCTAGTCTACCCCGTGACAGGCATGTGGTACTGGGGACCTACTCTACCCTGTGACAGGCATGTGGTACTGGGTACCTAGTCTACCCTGTGACAGGCATGTGGTACTGGGGACCTAGTCTACCCTGTGACAGGCATGTGGTACTGGGGACCTAGTCTACCTTGTGACAGGCATGTGGTACTGGGGACCTAGTCTAACTTGTGACAGGCATGTGGTACTGGGGACCTACTCTACCCTGTGACAGGCATGTGGTACTGGGGACCTAGTCTACCTTGTGACAGGCATGTGGTACTGGGGACCTAGTCTACCCTGTGACAGGCATGTGGTACTGGGGACCTAGTCTACCCCGTGACAGGCATGTGGTACTGGGGACCTACTCTACCCTGTGACAGGCATGTGGTACTGGGGACCTAGTCTACCCTGTGACAGGCATGTGGTACTGGGGACCTAGTCTACCCTGTGACAGGCATGTGGTACTGGGGACCTACTCTACCCTGTGACAGGCATGTGGTACTGGGGACCTAGTCTACCCTGTGACAGGCATGTGGTACTGGGGACCTACTCTACCCTGTGACAGGCATGTGGTACTGGGGACCTAGTCTACCTTGTGACAGGCATGTGGTCCTGGGGACCATTCTACCTTGTGACAGGCATGTGGTCCTGGGGACCATTCTACCCTGTCACAGGCATGTGGTACTGGGGACCTAGTCTACCCCGTGACAGGCATGTGGTACTGGGGACCTAGTCTACCCCGTGACAGGCATGTGGTACTGGGGACCTTGTCTACCTTGTGACAGGCATGTGGTACTGGGGACCATTCTACCTTGTGACAGGCATGTGGTACTGGGGACCTACTCTACCCTGTGACAGGCATGTGGTACTGGGGACCTACTCTACCCCGTGACAGGCATGTGGTACTGGGGACCTACTCTACCCTGTGACAGGCATGTGGTACTGGGGACCTACTCTACCCTGTGACAGGCATGTGGTACTGGGGACCTAGTCTACCTTGTGACAGGCATGTGGTACTGGGGACCTACTCTACCCCGTGACAGGCATGTGGTACTGGGGACCTACTCTACCCTGTGACAGGCATGTGGTATTGGGGACCTACTCTACCCTGTGACAGGCATGTGGTACTGGGGACCTACTCTACCCTGTGACAGGCATGTGGTACTGGGGACCTACTCTACCCTGTGACAGGCATGTGGTACTGGGGACCTACTCTACCCTGTGACAGGCATGTGGTACTGGGGACCTACTCTACCCTGTGACAGGCATGTGGTACTGGGGACCTACTCTACCCTGTGACAGGCATGTGGTACTGGGGACCTACTCTACCCTGAGACAGGCATGTAGTACTGGGGACCTACTCTACCCTGTGACAGGCATGTGGTACTGGGGACCTACTCTACCCTGTGACAGGCATGTGGTACTAGGGACCTAGTGGACCATGAGTGAACTGTAGTGTACACACCTTGGACCATGAGCGGGTCGTAGTGTACATACCTTGGACCATGAGTGGAGCATGAGTGGGTCGTAGTGTACATACCTTGGACCATGAGTGGATCGTAGTGTACATACCTTGGACCATGAGTGGACCATGAGTGGGTCGTAGTGTACATACCTTGGACCATGAGAGGATCATAGTGTACACACCTTGGACCATGAGTGGACCATGAGTGGGTCGTAGTGTACATACCTTGGACCATGAGTGGTTCGTAGTGTACATACCTTGGACCACGAGCGGGTCGTAGTGTACATACCTTGGACCATGAGTGGGTCGTAGTGTACACATCTTGGACCATGAGCGGGTCGTAGTGTACATACCTTGGACCACGAGCGGGTCGTAGTGTACATACCTTGGACCATGAGTGGGTTGTAGTGTACACACCTTGGACCATGAGTGAGTGAGTGAGTGAGTATGGTTTTACGCCGCTTTTAGCAATATTCCAGCAATATCACGGCGGGGGACACCAGAAATGGGCTTCACACATTGTACCCATGTCGGGGATTCGAACCCGGGTTTTCGGCGTGTCGAGCGAACGCTTTAACCACTAGGCTACCCGACCGCCCCTCCTTGGACCATGAGCGGGTCGTAGTGTACACACCTTGGACCACGAGTGGGTCGTAGTGTACACACCTTGGACCATGAGGGGGTCGTAGTGAACACACCTTGGACCATGAGGGGGTCGTAGTGTACACACCTTGGACCATGAGTGGGTCGTAGTGTACACACCTTGGACCATGAGTTGATCATAGTGTACACACCTTGGACCATCAGTGGATCGTAGTGTACACACCTTGGACCATGAGTGGATCGTAGTGTACACACCTTGGACCATGAGTTGACCATGAGTGGGTTGTAGTGTACATACCTTGGACCATGAGTGGATCGTAGTGTACACACCTTGGACCATGAGTGGATGGTAGTGTACACAGCTGGGACCATGAGTGGATCGTAGTGAACACACCTTGGACCATGAGTGGGTCGTAGTGTACATACCTTGGACCATGAGTGGATCGTAGTGTACACACCTTGGACCATGAGTGGACCATGAGTGGATCGTAGTGTACACACCTTGGACCATGAGTGGATCGTAGTGTACACACCTTGGACCATGAGTGATCGTAGTGTACACACCTTGGACCATGAGTGGACCATGAGTGGGTCGTAGTGTACATACCTTGGACCATGAGTGGATCGTAGTGTACATACCTTGGACCATGAGTGGATCGTAGTGTACACACCTTGGACCATGAGTGGATCTTGGTGTACACACCTTGGACCATGAGTGGACCATGAGTGGATCATAGTGTACACACCTTGGACCATCAGTGGATCGTAGTGTCCACACGTTGGACCATAAGTGGACCATGATGGATCGTAGTGTACACACCTTGGACCATCAGTGGATCGTAGTGTACACACCTTGGACCATGAGTGGACCATGAGTGGATCGTAGTGTACACACCTTGGACCATGAGTGGATCGTAGCGTACACACCTTCGACCATGAGTGGATCATAGTGTACACACCTTGGACCATGAGTGGATCGTAGTGTACACACCTTGGACCATGAGTGGACCATGAGTGGATCGTAGTGTACACACCTTGGACCATGAGTGGATCGTAGTATACACACCTTGGACCATGAGTGGATCGTAGTGTACACACCTTGGACCATGAGTGGATCGTAGTGTACACACCTTGGACCATGAGTGGATCGTGGTGTACACACCTTGGACCATGAGTGGATCATAGTGTACACACCTTGGACCATGAGTGGATCGTAGTGTACACACCTTGGACCATGAGTGGACCATGAGTGGATCATAGTGTACACACCTTGGACCATGAGTGGATCGTAGTGTACACACCTTGGACCATGAGTGGACCGTGAGTGGATCGTAGTGTACATACCTTGGACCAAGGACACTGCTGCAGGGCTCTGTAGAATATTCCTTTAGCTCGCTCTCTGTCCCCAAATTTGCTCTGAATATAGATGACCACATGGCGTAAGTGGTAATGTTGGTATAGAATGATGGAAGAAAACATAATGAACTGTTGGAAGTCACCTCCAGACTTCCATTCTAAATTAAAACACTGAGATCAATGAGGCACATGAGGCTTTGTGGCTCACCTGCAGTTGTCTGGAATATTCTATCAGATTAGAAAGGTTAAGCCAAACTTTCTTTTTATCATGATTGTTTGATTGTTGTTTAAAACCACTCTCAGCAATATTCCAGCTATATGACATCAGACAGTAAATATTCAAGTCCAGTTCAAATATTCAATAATTCAGTGATTGATATCATGGGCATCAATCCACCCAATTGGGAGACGATGACAAGTCAGCGAGCCTGATGACACGATCCTGTTTGTCACCTCTTACAAGAAGCATGTTGGTTGCTGAAGTCCTATTCTGACCCAGATCTTCGCAGATCAGGGTTAGAATAGGACTTCAGCAACCCATGCTTGTCTCCTCCTGTGCAGATCCGGGTTAGAATAGGACTTCAGCAACCCATGCTTGTCTCCTCCTGTGCAGATCCGGGTTAGAATAGGACTTCAGCAACCTATGCTTGTCTCCTGTGCAGATCCGGGTTAGAATAGGACTTCAGCAACCTATGCTTGTCTCCTGTGCAGATCCGGGTTAGAATAGGACTTCAGCAACCAACATGCTTGTCTCCTCCTGTGCAGATCCGGGTTAGAATAGGACTTCAGCAACCCATGCTTGTCTCCTCCTGTGCAGATCCGGGTTAGAATAGGACTTCAGCAACCCATGCTTGTCTCCTGTGCAGATCCGGGTTAGAATAGGACTTCAGCAACCAACATGCTTGTCTCCTCCTGTGCAGAATCGGGTTAGAATATGACTTCAGCAACCTATGCTTGTCTCCTGTGCAGATCCGGGTTAGAATAGGACTTCAGCAACCAACATGCTTGTCTCCTCCCGTGCAGATCCGGGTTAGAATAGGACTTCAGCAACCCATGCTTGTCTCCTCCTGTGAAGATCTTGGTTAGAATATGACTTCAGCAACCTATGCTTGTCTCCTGTGCAGATCCGGGTTAGAATAGGACTTCAGCAACCAACATGCTTGTCTCCTCCTGTGAAGATCTGGGTTAGAATATGACTTCAGCAACCTATGCTTGTCTCCTGTGCAGATCCAGGTTAGAATAGGACTTCAGCAACCAACATGCTTGTCTCCTCCTGTGCAGATCCGGGTTCGAATAGGACTTCAGCAACCCATGCTTGTCTCCTCCTGTGCAGATCCGGGTTGGAATAGGACTTCAGCAACCCATGCTTGTCTCCTCCTGTGCAGATCCGGGTTGGAATAGGACTTCAGCAACCAACATGCTTGTCTCCTCCTGTGAAGATCTGGGTCAAAATAGGTCTTCAGCAACCCATGCTTGCCATAAAAGGCGACTATGCTTGTCGTAAGAGGCGACTAACGGGATCGGGTGGTCAGGCTCACTGACTTGGTTGATGCATGTCATCGTATTCCAATTGCGTGTTTCTATGCTCATGATGTCAATCACTGGATTGTCTAGCTAGAACATTGCTGAGTGCAGCATTAAACAAACAAACAAAGCATGAAGCTGTGTAAAATATCATGGTTTGCAGCCAAATACTAAAAACATTACTGAGCAGAACATTTAGTCACATGACTTTCATGATCATACATGTAGAAATGGCTGAGCAAAGACATTTCTAAAAATGGCTGCCTTTAGGTTTGGTGGAACCTTATGACCATTGGTCAAAATCCCAGTGTTGCTCTGATAATGATTCTTGGTACCTGTGACTACATGCACATTACTCTACTGGCCTTGTACCTCTACATGGCTGTACAGCCTCCACACCAGGGGGCAGTGTTGTGAGGCCGAGCTCTGTGTCCCGCGCTCCAACACACTCCGCACTCGGTGCATCACGCCAGTGGTACTGTAACTGTCTGAAACATCAACACCAGGATGAGAGTGAATAGGGGTAACACTACTGAGCAATATCTCGGACTGCAGACCTGGACTAGTCCAACCAGTGGGTAGTAGTGTGAGCATTCATCCCTCCTGATGGGCTACAACCTGCTTGTCCTGGGCCCCGTTCCGCAAAGCCATTGTAGCGTTACAACTGTCATAAGTCAATAGTAAAGTATGGGAGTTACAATCTTAGCGCTAAGATAGTTTTCTGAAACGGGGCCCAGTCTTTAGTCTGATTGAGAGTGCTGCTGTGTGCACCTGTACATGTTTTGTTGTCAAATATTAAACGGGATAAACAACATGACTCAAGATATCATTGTTGTGTCATCTGGGCCATATTCCGTTTTAACATTAAGTAGACATTTGTGATTATGGAAAGGAACAGAAAATGCAAATAATTCAAGATTTCATTCGAGTTTGTTGGACTACCTGTTTGTGCCACCTGCTGTAGAGAGGTGAGTCTCACTACTTCAACCAGCACAGTATGGAGGAGTGGTACAGGAGATGCAGGATTCACTAAAGCTCTGTCCATGTAGCGCCGCAGACGCCCTACGATGTGGGACCTGGCCTCGAGGTCCACCAGGCACTGGAGGAAGGCTGAGCTGTCGGGGAACTCCTGCAGGGCTCTGTCTATCACAACCCGCAGCTGGCTGAGAGGCACTGCCCCGACTGACATTTGGTGGCGGAGCAGGATCCACTGCGACCTGTAGATATTCTCCCGGACGGCCACGAGAGGTTGGCTCGGGGCTGAAGACTTGCTGCCATCCAATAACAGAAGGACATCTTGGTAGTTAGACATGGCAGCCTCGAGGCCACTGGAACACAGTTCAAACATGGCCAGACAGTTCAGTTGACTCAGAAGGTGATGGAAAACTCTGGTGTTACCTTCACCGTGAGCGGACTCTGCTTTGCAGAGTGTCCTGGCAAGATCCGTGACCTGAGTCTTCAGCTTGCGCCGTGTTCTCAACATAGTGCTTGTAGTCAAAGGCGGCTCCTTCAGAAGTTGGAACTTTGTACCTTCAGCTAGAGAAGTGAGGCAGAACATGAGCCTTGTCTTCTGTTGTTGTGACACGTCTATCTGCTTTTGTGTGAGGTCTGCATGGAGGTGCTGTGTGACATGGAGGAGGAGCTGGCAGTAGGTCTGGTACAGGAGACACAGGCCGGACTTGTCCTCACTGCTGCCCCCACTGAACATTGCTAGAGCTGTCTCCACCACCCCCACGGCGTCCTGGTTCCTCCCCAGCTCGTGCTCCAGGCAGGCGTACGCGTTCCACACAGTCAGGTTATTGCGGTTGTGACCTTCCTTTAGCAGATTTTTCACAAACTTTCTGAGCACCTTCGATTTGTGTTTAGGCAAGTCTCTTGGAGAATCAACTCCGTGTTTCCTCCATTCAGTCTGAATCAGAAGCAGCGTGAAGACCGTCTGACTCTGTCCCCGGAACACTCTGACTGCCTGGGCGAGGGTCTGGTGAATAAATCTCTGTAACGTCTCACTCTGGTCGTCAGCTCCCTCCAGGTCGGGGCTCCTTGCAGCTGGTAACCATGGCAACTGGCACATCTTGTGGAGGGACAGCTGCATGGAAGATGCTGAGGTCCCCTCCTGTTGCTGCAGACACAGCTGAGACAGGACGTCCCACGTGGCCACGCCCAGCTGGCGGAGCAGACACAGGACAAGGCGGAACTGAGCTTCTGGCTCCGCTACTCGGAACAACACTGGTGTGATGTCGTCTACCAGAACCAGTCGCTCCAGATCCTCACAGTCTTCCTCCGTTTCATTCTTTGACAGATCTGGTCGCCATGGCAGCCAATGGGAGTTTTCACGTAATGTCTCAATTTCTAACCAAGTTTTCCATGTCGGCATCTGTTTTGATATGATAGCTTCCTCAGCTTCTTCAGTCGGGTCTGAAACTCAGATACAGTGATCCGTATTTGTATAGTTTAATATCAATTTTAATCAGTGAATAAAAATTATCTAAACAAGGCAAAAAGTGAGCAGGGACTTATTTCTAAGTTCACAACATGAAAAAAAAAAAAAAAATTCTCAGAAAATCAACTTATCGAAATCAAACTTTGCACTGCACCTCTCCTATCGGTAAAGAAACTGTGCCCGCAATTGGAAAAGAATCCATGAAGTAATTTACATGTAATAGGTCACACAAATGCTGAAGTAAAAGAATTTGAAGTTCAAAACATGAAAAAATAATATTCTTTCAGAAAATCCACATATCAAAATCAAACTCTGCACTGCACCTCTCCTATTAGCATGGTTAGGTGTTTAAGTAAAAATAGTCAATATATGAAAAAAGCTGTACTTTTTCCGAAAATACAAATATTGAAATCAAACTTCACACTGCAACACTCCTATTAGTATAGAAAGTGATCATCAAGTTTGAAAAGAATCAATACACTTAGTATCACTAGTTCTCAAGTTAGAGGTCGCACACAAAAATATCCTCAGAAGGACGGAGGGAATTCCTTGGTATAGCTACATGTATATATACCCCTGTCCCGTTAGGTCGGGGGCATAATAATTAGTAGATAAACATTGTGTGTTTTAAAATTTGCTGTAGTTATTGAGTATATTTGAAACAATGTTACTGAGGCACTCATACTAATCACAATGATAATTAAACATCTAAAATTACTGATGTTTCAGATCTGAAAGCAAGGAATTGTCATCACAACATTACATATTGATCATTACAAAACACACTGTTGCATATAGATAACGACATCACACATTGATGTACCTGCCGTGACGCCCCCCGTCTCTGCCACCATCTTGTCCCTGCTCCTCCAGGCGCCCCAGCCTGCCGCTCCTGGCTCCCCAAACCGAGCAATGCTGCTGTCCCAGAAACTCTCAAACACGGCCGCCCGGTCCCCCGTCATGGTGTCCGTGAGGTTGGGGGGACAGAAGAGGTTGAACTCGATGATGGCCTGGTACGAGGCCACGGCTCGCTCGGTGTGACCCACTTGATGCAGGAACATACAGTACTGGACAAACACGTCTGGAATACAAGGTCCTCGACTCTCACACAAGATGGCAACAATATTAGTGTACAGTTTTCAGCTCTGTTGTGTGCAATGCATTAGCTCCTGTGAACTATGTTCACTGGACCCTTTAGTAACGGCCTAATTGCAGCACTAAAAAAAGTTATTACTGGTGTTGTTTTGCCATCTGCAGATTATGATAATTAGGAGCGATGGTTTCAGTGTAGGTTCTAACACCGGTATCAAGCAAGTGAGTATGGTTGACAAAAATATATAGTGTTTATACAGTTGAGTAGGTTTAAGATCAGTTACACTGTTGTATTTGTAATGAGTTGTGTTTCTGCATGAAGTTAGTCAGTGAATGTCCATGACACTTTTGGAGGAACATACACTCAAGCAATCCAGAACTTACCAACAAGAAAAGGAAATGTATTCAATACTGTGAGATGACATTATGTGCCAAGTTTGGTTGCCATTGAAACTCGAAAAAATTAATTTTTTTAAATAACAAACTATCAAAAAACACCAGTTCACCACTAGACCTATCTATGTGCCAAGTTTGGTGAACAAATATGGTAGGGTTTTCAAGATCAGCTCCGGATACGAGGACTACCGCCATTTTCAGTCTAAAGCAAAGTCGTTGCCATGGAAACTCAAATTTTTTATTTTTTTTAAATCCCAAACTATCAAAAGGAACCAGTTCATCACTAGATCTATCTATGTGCTAAGTTTCATGAAGAAATATGGTACGGTTTTCAAGATCTGCTCCTGAAACGACGACTGTCGCCATTTTCAATCTAAATCAAAGTCATTGCCATGGAAACCCCGAAAAATAATATTTTTTTAAAATCCCAAACTATCAAAACGCACCAGTTCACCACTAAATCTATCTATGTGCCATGTCGTTTGGTGAAGAAATGTGGTACGTTTTTCAAGATCTGCTCCGGAAACGAGGACTACCGCCATTTTCAGTCTAAATCAAAGTCGCTGCAATGGAAACTAAAAAAAAAATCTTTTTTTTTAAATCCCAAACTATCAAAAGGCACCAGTTTACCACTAGACCTATCTATGTGCTAAGTTTGATGAAGAAATATAGTATGGTTTTCAAGATCTGCTCCGGAAACGGGGACTACCGCCATTTTCAGTCTAAATCAAATTCTTTGCCTTGGAAACACGAAAAAAAAAAAATTTTTTAAATAACAAACTATCAAAAGGCACCAGTTCACCACTAGATCTATCTAGGTGCCTAGTTTGGTGAAGAAATATGGTACGGTTTTCAAGATCTGCCCCTGAAACAAGGACTAACGCCATTTTCAGTCTAAATCAAAGTTGTTGCCATGGAAACTAAAAAAATAAAAAAAATAAAATTCCCAAACTATCAAAAGGCACCAGTTCACAACTAGACCTTTCTATGTGCCAAGTTTGGTGAAGAAATATGGTACGGTTTTCAAGATCTGCTCCGGAAACGAAATGTGACGGACAGCACCCATTCCTATATCCCCCTTCCACTAAGTGGCAGGGGATAATAATAGTCTTGGCCCTCAGGCACCACCCACATCATCATAAAGTCTGTCACATGTTTTGTTATTATTTCCATTTACCAAAATAATTGAAAATGGAAACAAAAACAAAACGTGCAATGAACTTTATGATGATGTTGGCAGTGCCTGAGAACCAAGACTATTATTTTTTTTAGCCTAAGGAAAGTTCACATATGCCATCACTTCTCATCCTGCTCATGTCATACCAAGTAGGGATGGGTATCGGAGGTTGGAAGTGTGTCACAATATTTTACAATGCACAAGGCCGTATAGTGATAGGTATGACAATATGTTGTACAATTCGAAATTTTGAATTCAGAAGAAATTTGAAACAATGAATTGAAGTTCATAAATGGAACAAAACAAGATGCTGGAACAGCATAATGTTTACTCATTCAATAAATAGGCATGGATGCATGCTCAAGGACAGTGAGGACTTCATGTTACACTACACCACTGCCGCAGAAGAACTCCAGAATGCAAGCTTGTATTTTCAAATTATGGAAAGATTTCGAAGGTAAATGTATTTGGCAAGTTTATTACATTAAACACACATAAAAACTGCTATTTGAAATCATCCGATATACTGAGCATTAAAACATAATATTGTGATACGTATCATGGAAAGAATGATATCCAGGTATTACTGTGCATCCCTAACACCTATTGTCAGATGACATCAACTGTACACACTCCGAGCAATCAGCACTCAAAGAGGCTATGTAGTCTCCATGGAACATTAACATGTAAAAGAAGCTCCCCTCTAACATATATCAAATACAGAATCTGATCTTCCATTCCTTTAAACATGATCTTCCATTCCTTTAAACATGATCTTCCATTCCTTTAAACAAATGGACTATTCATTTTGCTAATGTTTGTTTATTTGTTTAACACCACACTCAGCAATATTCCAGCTATATGATGGCGGTCTGTAAATAATCGAGTCTGGACCAGACAATCCAGTGATTGACGTCATAAGCATCAATTAATTGGGATATGATGACATGCATCAACCAAGTCAGCGAGTATGACCACCATTAGTCGCCTCTTACATCAAGCATAGTCTCCTTTTACGGTAAGCATGGGTTGCTGAAGACCTATTCTAACCCGGATCTTCATGGGTCCATTTTACTAATGGAAGTGTTAATCTTTCTTAAGGAGGTTGATGACTCACCCATGAGGGCCGAGTCTGGCACATCTGTCGGCCGGGCTGTCTGCATGTTCCCCTCCACAACCGCTGTCAGCACGCGGAAACACTTGTGGTAGAGCTTGATGAGTTTAGGGACGGAGAAGGATGTGAGTCTGGACTGCTGATACAGGAGATAGCTGTGCCACAACTTGGTGTTGGCGGAGTGAACAAACAGCAGCTGGTCCCACTCCTGCGCCAGTCGCTCCGTGCCCCACACATCCTCGCACACCTCCAGCTGCGCCAGCTTCAGGTCCAGGCAGCCAGGGTTGTCCGACAGCGCCCTCTCCAGGATGGCCAGCTTCTTGTCAATCACTGCCTGGGACAGCCCTCCCCTCCGCCAGGAATCCCCACGGAACACTTGGTCCTGGAACTTCACAAACTCCAGCCAGAGTTTTACATCGCTTGTATTTTCCCTGAGGTTCTTGTTGTACCTGGCCACCTGCTGGAGAATCTCATCATCGAGCTGTGTCTCTTCCGTCTCACCAGCCTCCTCCGTGCCCCTCCCCTGGACGTACTGCCTGGTGGCTTCGTCCAACACCCGGAGAGGGTCAGTAGCAGTGTCTGTCACCCCGCCAAGGGGAATGTACTGAACCTGACCGGCCTCCCGATCGACATGCCTCACCTTCTCTCCCACCTTCCTCAGCAGTGCTCTGCTTCTCTTCTGGCAATACCTAACTGCCTCGGCTTTCTTACTTGAGTTTTTCTCATGTTTAAAAAGATCCAGGTTCCCCTGCAGCCCGAGTGCAGAGTGTCCGAGTCTCCTGTAGCCAGCTATGTGAGCCTTGAAGAGGCACTCGTATGTCCACAGATCCTTGTCACGTTTGCGGTCTATCCTGAAAGCATCCTCGGGCTCCAGACCAGACATCTCCTCTATGAACACCTTCTTGGTGCTGACTGTCACCTTCTCTGACAACTGGGATCTGTATCACAACATCATCATCATCATCATCATCATCACAACTACACACATGTCCAACACATACAAAGATTGCAGCTATCTAACTTCAGGTTAGAATGAAAACACATGTTGTAAATCACATCCAGATACATACAGGCACTGCTGTCACTGACTATCATGCGATGAGATGCTAAAATACTTCCACTTACCCTACTCTTGAAGATACCGCAAGTTCTTTTTTCTTGACTTTGTTTTTCTTATGCTTGTGTTTATGTTTGGCTTTTTGCCTGCTGTGGCGGGCTGGACCCTCGTCACCTGGGTCGGCCGTACCTGGGGGGACATGGCACCAGGTATAGTCACACTGTTTGGCTGCTACACTTACAGGTCACACAACATCGGGTCACGGTTATTGTCAACTATCATGGGGACCATGTTGTGTCAGGGTCAGGCTCAAGGTCAGGGTTGGTCTCGGCTCAGGGTTGGGTTATTTCTACTTTTGCAAGAGATCCTAACACTTTCACAGATGTTCAGTTACCATGGTTACAATAGCAGGACAAGTGAGATCTATTCTACGCTGCAATCCCCACACAGATGTTCAGTTACCACGGTTACAACATACAAGATCTGCTCTACCCTGCAAACCTCACGCAGATCCTCAGTTACCATTGTTACAATAGCACAACAAACTCAGATCTATTCTTCCCTGCAATTCCAGCAGTTGTTCAGTTACCATGGTTACAACAGAGAGTGGGATGTGATACTGACCTTGAGACTCCTTGTCATCGCTACCTCCTTCACTTGTCTCTCTTGCTGCATTGGAACATCTGAAACACAGGATCCTAACATGAAACTCAACACACAGAAACGAAGGTATCAGTAATTCAATATGCAGCAATGCGAGAGACAGGAGTATTTAACTGGAATGGTTATACAAAAGGGAGTTTGGATAACCAAGAGACAGAAGTATTTAACAGGAATGGTTATACACAAGGGAGTTTGGATAACCAAGAGACAGAAGTATTTAACAGGAATGGTTATACACAAGGGAGTTTGGACAACAGAGAGATAGGAGTATTTAACAGGAATGGTTATACACAAGGGAGTTTGGACAACAGAGAGACAGGAGTATTTAACAGGAATGGTTATACACAAGGGAGTTTGGATAACAGAGAGACAGGAGTATTTAACAGGAATGGTTATACACAAGGGAGTTTGGACAACAGAGAGATAGGAGTATTTAACAGGAATGGTTATACACAAGGGAGTTTGGACAACAGAGAGACAGGAGTATTTAACAGGAATGGTTATACACAAGGGAGTTTGGACAACAGAGAGATAGGAGTATTTAACAGGAATGGTTATACACAAGGGAGTTTGGACAACAGAGAGACAGGAGTTTTTAACAGGAATGGTTATACACAAGGGAGTTTGGACAACAGAGAGACAGGAGTATTTAACTGGAATGGTTATACACAAGGGAGTTTGGATAACTGAGAGACAGGAGTATTTAACAGGAATGGTTATACAAAAGGGAGTTTGGATAACAGAGAGACAGGAGTATTTAAAAGGAATGGTTATACACAAGGGAGTTTGGACAACAGAGAGATAGGAGTATTTAACAGGAATGGTTATACACAAGGGAGTTTGGACAACAGAGAGACAGGAGTTTTTAACAGGAATGGTTATACACAAGGGAGTTTGGACAACAGAGAGACAGGAGTATTTAACTGGAATGGTTATACACAAGGGAGTTTGGATAACCGAGAGACAGGAGTATTTAACAGGAATGGTTATACAAAAGGGAGTTTGGACAACAGAGAGACAGGAGTATTTAACAGGAATGGTTATACACAAGGGAGTTTGGATAACAGAGAGACAAGAGTATTTAACAGGAATGGTTATACACAAGGAAGTTTGGACAACAGAGAGACAGGAGTATTATACAGGAATGGTTATACACAAGGGAGTTTGGACAACAGAGAGACAGGAGTATTTAACAGGAATGGTTATACACAAGGGAGTTTGGACAACAGAGAGACAGGAGTATTTAACAGGAATGGTTATACAAAAGGGAGTTTGGATAACAGAGAGACAGGAGTATTTAACAGGAATGGTTATACAAAAGGGAGTTTGGACAACAGAGAGACAGGAGTATTTAACAGGAATGGTTATACAAAAGGGAGTTTGGACAATAGAGAGACAGGAGTATTTAACAGGAATGATTATACAAAAGGGAATTTGGATAACCGAGAGACCGGGGAGTTTGGACAACAGAGAGACAGGAGTATTTAACAGGAATGGTTATACACAGGGGAGCATGCTGTCCTCTCAGTGTTTCTACACTTTGTTATAATCTCACATGATGACACAAATGTACAGAGCTTCAGGGGTTTGCTTGCTATTTTCTGATGTTGGCGCCTGCTCACCTGTTTTCTGACTGGACACTGGCGGCATGGTGCTCTGCAATGGCTTCCTGCAGCTCCACGACCGACGCCACAGCTGCATCTCCGTAACTCGGGTTGCTGAGCCAGTCCAGGCCTCCCCCTGTCAACAGAAGCAGCAGTGGGGATTCCTTGCATTCACATCTGCCTTTAACTCTATTTTGAAAATGTTCATCTGACCAAACAGAGGTCGAGATAAGATGCGTATTTGCATAAAATATGCATAAAATAAACTGAAATATGCAGACAAATCAAATCCTAGCTCATCAAATACTCAACAAAAACTATAAATACGCTATTGAAATAAAATTAATGCATATATTATAAATATTAGATAAAATGAATGCGTATATTACAACTGTAAGATAAAAAGATTGTGTATCAGGCGATCGCGAAATTCACTTACTGACATACTGACCACCGCTGATTGGTGATTAAAGAAATAAACAAAAAATGGCTTTCCGGAGAGGGAGCCGCAGACAGGTATACTCCTATTCACCTAGTTTTAAATGGTTTACAGGGGTGGTTAGGAAACAGGTTTAAAGTAACATACCCATATGGCAAGAAACAGGTGGGTACAAATATGTTTTATACCCTCTTAAACTTGTAGATACCCAATCAAAATCAAACCGCTCGGGTAAAAATCCCAAATAACCAAAGCTTATCTTTTGCTCTGCCATAATTCCAAACAAAATGTACATCCTAGTTTAAATGCAGAGAATCCAAACAACCCTGTGTAATTACAGAAGGGATATGAACAAGGCTACAATATTTTTAGATATTCTTCATAATTTGTAATCTTTTATTTGATGAAGTCACAAGAATATTAGAAACTGTCACTGTTGGGTAGAAATGTTTATAAATATAAGTGTCAATGCAGCTGAACGTATGACGAAACCTAATGTTAATAGAAAGAAGCCAAAAATGGATTTTAATACTTTGAACTGTGTTCAGGTTAAACAAGAAGCTAGACGTCATCTGATGAGATTCCAACAAATGAAATTAAACAAATTTTCACATGAGAATTAAATACAAACATATATGTAAAGGATCAAAATGTAACAATGAGTATATAAAAAGAACAAGACTTAAATCATGTATACACATGCACAAAAGTTAAGCGCCACCCACTATATTTGTGAGCTGTTACTTTTGGCACTTAATGATGACTATTATAACGAGATGTACGATTGTTATAAGCCGTATATGTAAACCTCATGTGATGCAAAAGTTGTCCCAAAGCAAGTTTATCTTGTGTTCCAAAAGAATATGAGCAGAAAGGAATTTTACCAAAGACCAGGAATTGAAGGATTAGAAAACATTGAAAAACTTGTTTTGTCATGTAACTGTCATGATATCAGCAGGCCATACCAGGTGTCACATAGACAGCCTAGGGAGTGCAGAGTCTATTGCAAGACAGAAACGTCAGTAACATGTGTATGATCCACGGACATTGACCACAGCTTCAACCCTACGCCTCATACTCATTACAAGTCGTTGAATGCTTCTCTGAGGCAAACGGATCCATTCTTCATGAAGTGCGGCTTCAAGTCCAGCGAGATTTTGAACTGGGGGATCATGATGTCTGATTTTCCGGCCAAGAATGTCCCAGAGATGCTCAATCGGATTAAGATCTGGACTACAGGCCGGCCAAGGAAGAGTGGCAATAGCTTCTTGACGCAAATAAGCCAAAACTGCCTGAGATCTGTGTGGTCTAGCATTGTCGTCCATGTAAACAGGTCTTGTCTGAAGAGGATGGTTGTCAAAATGAGGGACTACCACTGGACGAAGAACGGCATCTTGGTATTGTTGGCCATTCAGGTTTCCACGAATTGTCACCAGCGGAAGTTTGCAGCTGAAGGAAACACAACCCCATATCATGACAGACCCCCGCAACATGCTAAGGTCTTCTGGATGTTCCTTGGTGCAAAACAAGTGTTACGTTGCCTCCAAACACGTATTCGACCATCAACGGTTCGTAGCAGCATTCAACACTCGTCAGACCAATGGATCCTTCTCCAGTTGGCCAAGTTTCATCAACTACAGGCACGACACCATATCAGACGATTCCCCATGTGCCTCTCAGTCAGTTGAGGACGTTTTACTGGTCTTCTGGCGTTATAACCAGGCGCTCTGAGGCGACGCTTTACGGTCATCGTCGAGAGTCTCTGATGGGTAATCCACTGCAGTCTTAAATCTGTTGAAGTGGCAAATGGATTTTGTCTGACTATCCTGAAAAGATGTCTATCCTCTCTGTTAGATGTCTTTCTTGGCCTACCAGACCTATGCCTGTCATTGACATCATTGGTTTGACCATGTTTGACAATCAAACGAGTGATAACACTTTGATGACAACCCATTTGTCTTGCAATGGCCCTGCATGACATGCCAGCATTTTTCATGCCTATCACTTGCCATCTTTCAGCATTCGTTAATTTTGTCCTCACAATGACTGATTTTCAACCTCTATTGGAAGGGGAATCTCACATGTGTCTGAAACTTGAATTTCACTATTTATAGGGTAGGGGAACTGCAGCAACACATAAAGCACGCTTTCCTTGTGGTATCTGTACAAATTTGGGTTCATGAAACTATGGAAGCCTAATTCAGTCATACATATTTCGTATTTCTGATTCCCACACGTGAAATCAAGAGACTATGAATATGGTGGCGCTTAACTTTTGTGCATGTGTATATAAAGGACTCATCCGTGTTTTGGAAAGAATTGAAAAGTTGATCAAGCCCATATGATCGGAGCCCATGTGATCGGAGTAATGAGATTGATAAAGACTGATGGTTTGAGCATTTTAGAATGTGTTTAATAATTTTGATGAAATTAGTGAGAATAGTGATACTACCGACCATGACGAATCTTCTTTAGATCTTATTGATAAATGCATTGTGGAATCGCCCCTCACACATCCAGAGACTCAGGCAGCTATTAACCATTGAAAGAAGGGAAAGTCCCCGGCCTTGCTGATATCATTGAAATGCTAAAATGTTCTTAACCTGTCATATTTCTATTCTTAAGAATCTTATGTAACAAGTTAATTGATTCTTGCGTATTTCCGGCGTCCAGGACAAAGGCAGTGAGGTGGTGGCTCTGTGGTGTGGGGATTGGAACTGTCCATTTAACTGTTTGCAAGAAACTTCCTATCGTTGGTCTCCAGACACCTAAAGTTACTGTGTATCCTGTATGTATAAATGCACTCAGTCGTTGGATAAAATACGTACTGTCTTAAACTTAACCAAATGCACAAAGACAGAATTCCTATGAAAGCCTATGATGTGCTTATGTACTTTGATAGCTGTGGACACCAAACCCATGCATCTACTGTACACACTTTACTGTTTTCACAGGAATTTGGATTTGTAGGGATTGTCAGTATGTTGGTGATACATTTGCTTCTCTTAGACTTTATAAAACAAGTAGCAGTTGATATGTATCATCAATCATGGGATAGTATTATAGAAAATAGTACAAGATATGACATATATAAAGAGTTTAAATGCTTAATCGGACCTGAGAAGTACCTCACCCTATTAACAGATAGAAAACAAAGTAATTTATCATACCACAATGTCAGAGAGATGAGATTTGATTGGTCCACATAATCTTGGTAAAATACTATGTATCCCGCCTTGGAGGGAAATAAATTTTCCGAGGCAATGAAAGTCACATGAAACATCACAAGTTAACCTCAGCTCAATCAAACAGCTGTTTTCTATTAATTTTGAATTTGTTTTAATTCTTTTACAAAGTCATATAAAACATAATGGTAAGATATCATTCCCTCTGGATACTGCTACAACTTATGATGTTGACTGAGAAGAGGGTTGTTTAGGTAGAAAGTTAACATAGGGAGATGGTTGGAGTTTGAATGAAGTTTATGTTTATGTCCTCTTTGTAATCTAGGGATAGAAGATGAATATCATTTTATCCTCATATGTAATTCCTATAAGAACATAAGACACCTCTATCTGTCTAAAATGTATTGTTATTATTCCAAATATGTATAAATTTAGAATGCTTATGTCTTCGAACGATGTAAGATTATTAACAAACTTATGTTAATATCTATGTAAAGTTATGAAATGAGTCAAAAAGTTTTGCAAATACTGGAATAATATGATGAAAGTTGTTATGTGGTTATTGCCTCTAAGATTTGTTCCAGGACCAAACTATGTAGCTGAAGGACCAAAAGGTTGTCGTTTAAATTCTGTGTGAAGCGCAAATGTCTCTTCATGCCAGACAAAATGCTGCTGTATTTAGGTGAACAGTTTTGATTAAAAAACATGTCAGTATCACAAAATTTCACAAATTGAAACTTTCACAGACTGGGATTTTCCGACAAGGAGAAAAGGAGACAAAGGAAGAGAGGAAAACAGTTAACATACAAGGAGACTAAGGAAGAATGGAAAACAGTTAACATACAAGGAGACTAAGGAAGAGAGGAAAACAGTTAACATACAAGGAGAAAAGGAGACTAAGGAAGAGAGGAAAACAGTTAACATATTAGGAGAAAAGGAGACTAAGGAAGAGAGAAAAACAGTTAACATACAAGGAGAAAAGGAGACTAAGGAAGAGAGAAAAACAGTTAACATACAAGGAGACAAAGGAAGAGAGGAAAACAGTTAACATACAAGGAGAAAAGGAGACTAAGGAAGAGAGGAAAACAGTTAACATATTAGGAGAAAAGGAGACTAAGGAAGAGAGAAAAACAGTTAACATACAAGGAGAAAAGGAGACTAAGGAAGAGAGAAAAACAGTTAACATACAAGGAGACAAAGGAAGAGAGGAAAACAGTTAACATACAAGGAGACAAAGGAAGAGAGGAAAACAGTTAACATACAAGGAGAAAAGGAGACTAAGGAAGAGAGGAAAACAGTTAACATATTAGGAGAAAAGGAGACTAAGGAAGAGAGAAAAACAGTTAACATACAAGGAGAAAAGGAGACTAAGGAAGAGAGAAAAACAGTTAACATACAAGGAGAAAAGGAGACTAAGGAAGAGAGGAAAACAGTTAACATACAAGGAGAAAGGGAGACAAAGGAAGAGAGGAAAACAGTTAACATACAAGGGGAAAAGGAGACAAGGGAAGAGAGAAAAACAGTTAACATACAAGGAGACAAAGGAGACAAAGGAAGAGAGGAAAACAGTTAACATACAAGGGGAAAAGGAGACAAAGGAAGAGAGGAAAACAGTTAACATACAAGGAGACAAAGGAAGAGAGGAAAACAGTTAACATACAAGGAGAAAAGGAGACTAAGGAAGAGAGGAAAACAGTTAACATACAAGGAGACAAAGGAAGAGAGGAAAACAGTTAACATACAAGGAGAAAAGGAGACTAAGGAAGAGAGGAAAACAGTTAACATACAAGGAGACAAAGGAAGAGAGGAAAACAGTTAACATACAAGGAGAAAAGGAGACAAGGAGACAAAGGAAGAGAGGAAAACAGTTAACATACAAGGAGAAAAGGAGACTAAGGAAGGGAGGAAAACAGTTAACATACAAGGAGACAAAGGAGACTAAGGAAGAGAGAAAAACAGTTAACATACAAGGAGAAAAGGAGACAAAGGAAGAGAGGAAAACAGTTAACATACAAGGAGACAAAGGAAGAGAGGAAAACAGTTAACATACAAGGAGAAAAGGAGACAAGGAGACAAAGGAAGAGAGGAAAACAGTTAACATACAAGGAGAAAAGGAGACTTAAGAAGAGAGAAAAACAGTTAACATACAAGGAGAAAAGGAGACTAAGGAAGAGAGGAAAACAGTTAACATACAAGGGGAAAAGGAGACAAAGGAAGAGAGGAAAACAGTTAACATACAAGGGGAAAAGGAGACTAAGGAAGAGAGGAAAACAGTTAACATACAAGGAGACAAAGGAAGAGAGGAAAACAGTTAACATACAAGGAGAAAAGGAGACTAAGGAAGAGAGAAAAACAGTTAACATACAAGGAGAAAAAGAGACTAAGGAAGAGAGGAAAACAGTTAACATAAAAGGAGAAAAGGAGACTAAGGAAGAGAGAAAAACAGTTAACATACAAGGAGAAAAGGAGACTAAGGAAGAGAGAAAAACAGTTAACATACAAGGGGAAAAGGAGACAAAGGAAGAGAGGAAAACAGTTAACATACAAGGAGAAAAGGAGACTAAGGAAGAGAGAAAAACAGTTAACAAACAAGGAGAACTCATTTTGTTTCTTTAACTGCAAGTGGGTACTTCCAAATATACCGGTCTAGTTCTTTTTGTGTTATTTTCTAACTCCTTTTTCATTCCCTTAAAAAAACCTTGCTTACAGCTATATATAACAAAAGTGCTATTGGCTTACTGCCAACACGTCAATAGGCATCCAGCTTGCCAGGACAACTGGATAGCAATGGGTCGCTCTCAGTTATGATAGTCAGTCTGTCAAAAGGGTATTTGGAAATGTCCAACACTAACAAATAAGATTGTATGTGCTTGGTAGTTCATCGAAACAATTTCATTTTGACTGTAACCTTGGTAGTTCATCGAAACAATTTCATTGCGACAGTAACCTATAGCAACTACTAAAGACTTCAAGTTGTATTGGAGAGACTAGGGCTGGGACGGGTAACTCGGGTACCCGGGTTGGGTGGGTACTGAGTAGGACCCGGGTACCCACAGGACTACCCGGACCCGTGGTTAGTCACATGATATATATTGTTGACAAAAATTATCCGGGTAGTAATTTTGGACTCGTCCCAGCCCCAGAGGAGACCCATCGTCTTTCGGCCTAATTTAGGTGGATGATCGAAAATAGAACAATCTTCATAACAAAATAAATTTCCGCACCTCCCGTGTCTTCATTGGGAAGGGCGGTAGGTTCACTGCCCACGGGAAATAGTGTATGTTTTTCAAGTTCCTTTATACTTGTACTCGACAGTGGGAACAGAGTCTGAGATGACGAGGGTGTCTTGAAGTCATCTTGAAATGTTTCCCCGACGTCCATAATCAAAGGGAGTTAATTCTAACAACAATACCGCTAAAAACTCAGATGAATGGCCTCCCATCGCAAGGGTAAGCAGAGACCATAATTTTTTATTTTTTATTTCATGGTCTCTGGTGTAAAGAACTTATGATGAAGTATGTATGTAGTTATCTGTGAACAACTGGAAAACAGGAAACAACATGTAGCACGTGCATCAAACGTTTTGTGAGATTAAAGGGACTTTCATTTTTATGTTGTTTCTTTTTAAAATATCTCATGTCTTGCGTTGTGTCACAAACGCGGTTTATTCCAGTTCGTAGTAGCGACCAACATCTCCTGTTTCCAATATAAGGTTTGTTCTCCGATGTCACCAGTGAGATAGACATGCAAGTACAGATGAAAGTGTGGAGTCTGGCACATATACCTGTAGGTTGTTCTTATGCATACATCTTTCACAATCTGACGTGTTTCAGTCCTGTGACTTGCTGACAATTAGCTTCTATTCTGAGTGAGTGAGTATGGGTTTACGACGCTTTTAGCAATATTCCAGCAATATCACATTGTACCCATTTTGGGAATCAAACCCGGGTCTTCAGCGTGAGGAGCAGACGCCTTAACCACTAGGCTACCCCACCGGAGCAAACAGGATTCCATGGAGTGGACACATTTCGCTTTCTTCCCAAATCAAGAGGTTTAGAGCAACCAGACCCACTATAAGAATGCCATGACCGCATTCCTTGGGGACATAATACTAAAAACATGATACAATTAGTTATCGAACTACTATGACTGGTGATTATTATGTAACACACATATATAGCGTCGCGGCAAACTTCGACATGTTCTCCTCGGTCAAGACATTGATCCAGTTCACACAAGTCATGTTCCAATGGCTGCTGAACAGGAAGGTGGCTTCCACTCCATTCACTCACCAGATCTGACTGGCTCCCTGTGACCAACTGTTTAGATTTGCAGAAATACTTGCGTGGACGTGGTCAGAGATTGAACGAGGACCAAGAGTTGGTGGGTGCCGCGGAGGGCTGGTTGGCCAGGAGTTGATCTTCTACAAAGAAGGACATCTGGCCGGGTGGAGAGACGGAGCATGTGTATTGAACTGCATAGAGACAGTGTTGACAACAAATTGAAATATAAGACACAATTTCTATGTTCTATGTATGCGTAGGGTCAACAGTTTGATACTACGTCGCACAGGTCAAACATCCGACAAGCGGACAGGGCCACACATGCAGGGTTAAAAGTCGAATAAAATATGTTCATGAATGTTTTAGAAGAAGAAAAAAAGATTACAAACAGGATATATTTTCAAAGATATATTTCTCCATAAGTGGCGATGGGGTGCACTCTGGCCTCTTGATTGAGAACGACCTTAATTAATATAAAAGATTAATTGGCCTATTTATGTTATGGAAATAAGCTGTTTAAATACTGACTCAGGAAAATGTACCCGAGGAATTGTTGCCAGTAATATGCAATATAACGTCGCGTCATTACTTGAGGGGAGAAACGTTTGCATCAATCTGGGACACACTTGGTGCAATGATTTGGTTACAATGTGGCCCAACGACCACGACTGTATTATGACGGGGGCTCCGCATTCTTCCTTGGGAGATATTCCAGGTCTCGACAGATATGATGATTGTCAGTTGTGAAACAATGTTCCAGTGGAAATACCTACTGAATCTACATCCGCAGTTAAAATTTTAAATGATCAAGGCCAATGTCAAACTCATACAATGCAGCGCTTATGTACATACTGGTTTGGTTTGTTTGTTTGTTGTTTACGCCGCACTCAGCAATAATCTACCCTTATGACGGCGGTCTGTAAATAATCAAGTCTGGACCAGACTATCCAGTGATTGACATCATGAGCATCCATCCACGCAATTGGGATACGATGACATTCACCAACAAAGTCAGCGAACCTGACTACCCGATCCCATTAGTCGCCTCTTACGACAAGCATAGTCGCCATTTACGGCAAGAATGTGTTGCTGAAGACCTATTCTACCCCGAGTCTTCATGTACATAGTGACAACCACTGATCGATGTTTCTGACCGTGTCAGAACCAGACAACCAGCGGTTACGTCATGTTCAAAAGGACACATCAATTATTAAATGTCGTACCAGGGAGTCCTATACAGACTATATCAGACACGCATGCAGTCATATTAACTCCGTAATAGTATGGGGTATGGAAGTACAATGAACTTTGAACACACAATATGCCATTTAGCAAGTGGTCAAATGTAACAAATGTTACTAACACTTTCTTAGTAAAATACAGATTCTACTACTTTTTTTTTTGGGGGGGGGGGGGGGGGGGAGTTTATTCTTCATTGTGTAGACTGGTTTAGATTTTTCGTTCCCTATAACTCGAGCATGTGTCGCTCCTCACGTACGTGAGTCAATGACTAAGACTAACACTGTTGTAATGACGCGCTTCCGTAAAATCAAGTGGAGATAACTCGTGGCGTCCACGTCACTCTTATGTCGTGGAGAATGTTGAAAGATGGCGGGTATTGTGTTCGCGCTCGCAGCATGGCAGGCGGTGTTACTTTGTCTGTTGTTTGCAGTCATGTATGTTGGCAGTCTATATGTGTGGACAGCCACGGTGACCAAAGACAGGTATGTCTATTAACATATCTCAGCACTTTGACGTAAAGAAATCGCATAACAGTAATATTTACCGATGTGCCAAACAGAGGAATGGGAGAGAAATATTAGAACCCGAATAAGTTCATAACGCTCAGCTCAAATGATGTGTTATTTTCAGGTTGTAGGGGAGACAATCGAAGATGACAAATGAAATCAGATATATCTATGTTCCTCAAGATTAGTAGAGCCCTTTTTGATCGTCGGCGTAATTTGTTGGTCAACTTGATAAATGAATAAAGTTTGAAAGAAACGTACTTGTTAAAACAGTTGACTGTTTAATTTGCATGAAATGTCAGAAAGTGAGAAAAGATCCACCACTTCCTTGTACAACAAGTGTTCTTACTTGACAGAGTTCCAAATTAATGGTAAACATACTTTTAAAATATTCTTCTGTCATGTAGATATAGATCTAGTTTCCATTCACATCGGGACTTGTTGCTACCCTGTGCCAATACAGATGGCTTTATCAATATCACGGACATTTATGTTCTGTTACGTTTGTTTACATATTGTGAGCGCCAATGTGCACGTGCATCTATGTCATACGTCACACGTCATGACTATGTACCTGTGGTCAGTTACGAATAAATCATCGTTCACTTCAGATTAAATGAGTAGGTGTTATACTGTTTTGAGATATCTTTATTCGACATCACAAATGATGGAGATCTCTAACACAGAACAGGAAGCATAACTTAATGCAACACATGATTGTATAATGTAAATGTACATAATCCTCTATCCCTACCCAAGTGATTGGTAGATCTTGCAAAAGGTATGACAAGGACTAAATATAGCAGTCAAGTCTTGACTGAGTTTTAAATGAACTGAAATGTCTTCAAGTGTGTTGATGTCACATATTATGAGTGTTCCAATCCTCCATATCTATGGAAGGGAAGGATGACAGGAATGTCATGTAAACACATGCATGTCTGAGGGGTTATTCCACCCAAATTGCATGAATATAGTCACTAAGCCACGAGGGTGCAATCTTTCTCCGAGTAGAACGTCTGGGTTCAACATCCACTGGGGCAGGACATGGGGATGGTAGCGTTCTTGTATTTGGTGTTGTTGTCAACGACGGTGCAGCAGGTTGTTGAGGAGCAGCAGTCTGGTGTTGAAAGCTTGGTAGTTCTGATGACAGGTCTGAGGGACTCACAGTAGTCGTTGCTGGCACAGCTGAGGATGATGGTTCCATCAAGTTTAATTCCTTTTGCGAGGGGGCAACAGGCTGATTACTGTTGGCATTGCTGGGCCTGGATGAGGCCTTCTGCAAGAAAGGACGGTATTGTGTACCATTGAGACCAGCTGGTGATGTTGAATGGATATGGCCTGGCAAATGATCAGCAACTGTGACTGTTGGTGTGGGTGGATATACAGGAGTGTTTTTGCGGAGGATTTTCCTGTTGCGTAGAGTTACTCTACCTGAGCCGTCCACACGTACAACATACTGGTCGAATTGGCGAAACTTCGATCACACATCCAGTTTTATCCCATTTCAGTGGGTGAGGACCTGTTTGATTTTGGATTCGGACAAGGGGTTGTAGCTGTTTGGTGTGCTCAGTAAGCCGTTCAGCCATCCTCATATGTCAGTCTCTCAAAGCATCCTCTCTCATGGAAAGGGTATCGCGCCATGTGTCATGTGGTTTATAGCAACCAGGTGGTATGGGTATAAAGTCCTTTATGGGTCTACCGAAGACGCACATCGCAGGGGATAACTTGGTGTCTGTCTGGAGTGTTCCTGTATTGTAGCATTGCACGTTGGAAGGCCTCAGTGTCAAGTTCCCCATTGGGTCCAGTGTTGTTCGTTATCAATCTTTTGACAGTCTTGACACCGACCTCTGCTCCACAATTGCTGTGTGGGAAGTCAACAGATGACATGCGATGATGCACACCCCATGTTCGAAGGAACTCTCTGGTAGCTGAGGCTGTGAATTCAGGGCCACCATCAGAGGATAGCTCATCCGGAATGCCAAAGGTGACAAATGTTCGGCGTAGATAATCAATCAGGCCAGGTGCACCACTGGAGGTTCTTTCAACTATAGGCCAGTTGGAGTATCTGTCAACAACCACTAAGTAGTTGATCCCTTTGTAATGGAAAAAGTCAGCACACACACATTGAAATGGGTAGACTGGGTAGACGGGTGGCGTGGGTGGGCCACAAGGTTGGGAGGGGGCCATATGGTTGCAGTGATTGCTATCGTTTCTGAGGGCTGTGATAGCTTGAGTGATTCCAGGCCAGAAGACAGATGCTTCAGCTCTTGCCGTCATTGATGACACGCCTTGGTGAGCGGAGTGGAGTGCAGTCAGGACATCCCCATGTAGTAATGGGGGAATCACGATTCGATGATTTCTTTGACAACTCCATCGACCGTATGAAGATGCTCACGAAATTGATGGAATTCGCGAAGTGATGGTGGTAATTCGGAGGAATTCTGGCATCCCTGATTCAATCATCTCCACCAGCTTCACCATATCGTTGTCACTGCTTGTTGCTACCTGAACCTTGTCCCAGGTGATGGACTGGAAGGAGCTGATCGACGACACGGCTGAGTGTATAACTGAGTCCTCAATGCTGTCATCAGGCTTCTCGCTGCATCTTATTGAGGCTAGGATCATGTGACTGACATTTGAGAAAGTTGGGAGGTCAAGCAAGTCGTCATCATGGCAGATGGCTGCGACATCATCTATTAACACCATTTTCTCAAGGTGGCCAGTTGGATAGCAGGACACAGCATTAGCAGCGCGGTGTTTTGCACCTGGTACATGAACCATCTGGAATTTGTCGCGCAATGCTTTTTTCTTTAGATTTCGGAGTGGAGCATTTGAGATATGTTCGAGGGATCGGTCGCCAAACAGCTTGAGGAGTGGTTTGTGGTCAACCGCAACAGTGAGATCGTTACAGCCGAGAACAAAGTACCTGGCTTTGTCCAGTGCATCAGCAACTGCCAAAGCCTCTCCTTCCACAGGGGCGTAGCGGGATTCAGCTGCATGGGTGAAGTGACTGCCAACCAGAGTGATTTTCCAACCATCCCGACAACAGAAAGGCACTGTCTTGGGGCATTTGCAATGTTTTTGGAATAGCCAAAATCCAAATCCACCTTTTGACCAGTCAGTAGCAAGGCATGTCGGCTTGCGTTTGTCAAATATTTGTACACCCTCCTCAATCTCACTGACAATGACTGCCTTTGATTCCTGAAACCACATGTCTAAGCGGTCATCCCATCGAAAAGGTGTCCCAGGCTTCAATAGCTGACAGTATGGTTGCATCTTTTCTGCCATGGAAGGCATAAGATACCTGGTTGATAAGGCCAAACCATGACCGCATGTCTGTAATATTTCTCGGTGTGGGAAAGTCCAAGATGGCTCGGAGGTACTTTTTACAGGGCCGAACACAGTCATGTGTTATCTCAAAGCCTGCAAATTCAACCATACCCTGAGCAAAGACAAACTTCTCAGGGTTCAGTGTGATGCCATTTCTACCTCAGATGTCAAGCCATGCACAAGCTAGGAAGTAGCACTCTGTAATGTCATCAGCCCAGAGAAGTGCATCATCTACGTACTTGGTTTTGTTGGGTACATCAGCAACAATCACATCTAAACGCCGTGTGTAACCACCTCCTGATGCAATGTATCCTTGGGGGGCAGTGAGGTATCTGTATCTTCCCCAGGGTGTGATGAATGTCGTCAGATGTTTGTCTTCATCCCGAATGGGTATGCTATTGTAACCATTCCAAGCATCAAATACAGTCTTCTTTTTGCCATGCAGTACAGATCTGGCTTGGTGGAATGGGGACTGTGTGTGGTGTGTTTCTCTGATTGCATGTGCGTTAAGAGCTTGAAAGTCAACAGTGCGTCTTGGTTTACCATTCTTCTTGGGACAAACAACCATTCTATGGCACCATGTGACAGGTTCACCTATTGGTACTGGCTCGATCACACCTAGTCGGACGTCTTGATCCAAGCCAGCTTTGACATGTGGTGTAGCAACTGGTGTAGCATCGGGGTCAACCATAAGCTTCATGGGAGGGCCCTCAATGAGGGGGAGTGGTTGGTGCTCACAAGTGTTGAATGTGCTTGACTTGGTGTTCTACTGGATTTCTCCAATTTTTGCTTGTTTCTGCTGCAGCACACAGATTCAAAGTAATTGGATCGACTGCACAGCGTGCAAGTATGACCAGGGGCTTGGCATTCTTTCTTTCTGATTTTGGGGGCTGCAGACTGCCCCTTCTTGCTGCAGTAGTGGCATTTTTCAGATTTATCAAACTTTTTAGTTTCGCTGTGAGCTGCATTCCTGCTGCGTCGGTAAGTGCTGCCGATTGCTTCAGCACCTTGAGGGTCAAGAAGTCGTGATGAGGACCGCTTACCAGCTTCTTTGGCTTCTACAAACTGGAAGGCCTAGAGTCATGTCTTGGTTTTTGTCACCAAGGAGGTCTAACTGGATTTTGGGGTCATTCAGGCCACGTGTCAGCACATCCCGGAAAATAGCCTCCGTGTAGTTTACCTCATCGTGACAGCCTGGGCATGGAATGACAAACTTGCACGCTCCAGCTTGACCCCGAAGCCTAGCACCAAAGGAACGAACAGTCTCATCACGGTCCTGGGTCATACTATGAAGAGTAACACGCGCCACCATGGTGTTCTCCTCTCTTACGGCAGGGACTTGAATGGCTTCCAATACTGCTGCTTCAGGTTTGTCTGTCAGGGACCCACCTGCAGAACGTGTTAGATCTCTGCGTAATGTCTCATCACAGCATTCCAGTAGCTGCACCACGAGATCCTTCCCTGTGACCTTGGCAGCCTCCACATAGTCTTTCCACCTGGAGATGAAGTATGACCAGTCCTCGCTTGAGCCGGCGGAGGATAAAGTTGGTCGCTTTACTTTCTCGACCTTAGCTGAGCTACTAGCATGTGTGGTCATGGTGTGGACCGTTGCATGTGCATGTGCATTCAGGAGTGCGGCAATCGCC